GATATCAGTGTCAAGAGACATTTTTCCACAAAAGTGTGATAAGTGTAACGCAGTTTATGAATATAATGACACCAATAATGTGTACGTCAGAAAAGAACCTCTAATGCAAAATTTCGTTTAAAAAGCCTACAAATAAAGACTACTGTCATCAAACCACCATAGCAACGGACTACGATGCAACAGTCAGCAGGATATACAATATAGCCACTCCATAAAAATTTCTAATATCAGAAACCAGATTTGTAGTGATACAGCCTAGTTACTAGTGTGAGTTGAAATTTTATTACGAAGTCATTATTCAGAATGTATGCCGCTTACGAAAATCCTATGAAACAAAGTGTAGTCATCTTATTCGTCAAAATCTGCTGTCATTACATTCTTTAAATTAAGTTGAGGTGAGCTACTGTAGTTCATTCCCTCTTACAGTCTTTGTTAGCTCAAACAGTCTGCATCACTTTTATAATCATCATCAGTTTTCTTGTTGCTGATACAAATACAACGCAATAGTTTGGTATAATTCAATCAGTATCTTAAAAGACTGTTTCTGTTTTGGTGTATGTTAATTAAACAGCCCAGAACAACTGTACACTGGTATGGAAACTTTTCTTTTATCTTATACCACAGAGAGAGAGAGACTGCATTTGACTGGCTATTCAAACTGAAGTATGCGCTGAAGATGTCTCTTAGTAGGGTGATGAAAGCTTCGCAAATCAACCATCCAGCTCAGAGAACACAACCATATCAAAAATTACTGTTTATGTGGTGATAGCATCCCTACCTTTAAACAAAATACAAGAAAAAAATATTTTTCTCAATACTATGAATCAGATTATATCAAATTACCTTGATAAAACAATGTAGTCATTCTGTATACCTTCGTACTTTCGTCCGAGTTAAGGTTATCAAAGCAACGTATACGTTAACTGTGTAAATTATGTATGATTACAGGACTGACCACAGGTCGACATCAATTAGAGAGCCATTGGAAAATCAGGAAATACTGAACAACTGCTTCGTCCTGTTCTGGGTCTCTTCAGTATTCTGACGTCAGCTCATGACAAATTCAGAAACCAATGAAATTCCTACAAACCAACACTTAATCATTATGTTTGAAGCGAATAGTTGTGAAAACTTCAGGTATCCTGTAAAACAGTATTCAATATTGCGTAGTTTTCATTTGTCAATGAAAACTAGAGTTAAGAGCATTAGACTAATTACTTGGTTTCGAAAAGCGTCGTAGCATACGTGGAGTGGAATTTACATATTCATTTCAATATTTTTAAAAATAACTTCGCATTTATGCCATAAACCTCAAGCGAAAATTCACATACAAATTAGACTGTAGCTAAAAGGCTGAATATACCGAAAGTGTGTCTTCTCCTCTTACTTTTTTCCCTTGTTTTTTCTTTATTATTTATTCCCTTTCCACTTCATTCTAACAGGTTTAGTCACAATTTGTACTCTACTACACTATCAAATTTTCCATACATATAAACTTTTCTGATTTGTTGTTAGTGTTGATCTATTCCCAATTTTTATGACACAACTTCATTTATTTCACATATTGATTATTTCATGATAAACTATTGACCAATGTCTTACTATTTCCTCTTTTAAATGCATAATGTTATGTACTAGCCACTCACTACTCACATTTAACGACCTTGAACTGGCTTGTTAATTTCCGTTCCCCACACTGAATGAATCTATCATTACTAACCTTCATCATCAGCTCGTACTTCACAACATTTTTTAAATTGTATTGACTGCAGAACGCTAATCACACAAATGTTGTTTATTCTGTGACCCTATATCTAATCTATTACTGTATGTAAAAGCTATCCTCTCCATAACTGGCTAGTATTGTTATGATGGAAAACATTTCATTTTATAACTCTTGTAATGGCAGAAGACCAGAGACTTAGTAACGAAATATTTAATTGGAATTTAATATCTGTATATAGGGAAATTATGTACACCTCATCTGGAAACTGTCATTTGCACACATCTTCCGTGTTCTGTTACTTCTGCCCTTCATATTGTGTTCCCCAAGTTTTAGTGAAACACTGGTTCATTTGTTCTCTTTGACTTCAAATCTGTCTGTCCATTATTAAATACTCTCGTACCAATGAACGTCTCTTTAAACACTATTGATAAGTCTTGCCAGTAGCTTGCGCCACACTGTATGAATCTGAAAGCAATTGATTAGAAAGAATATTCTTCTTTCAGACCAGTGTTTAGTTCATGATATGAGAATATTACTTACTCACAAATGTTAACTATCCCTAAATATGGTGGATTAGTCTCTGGGTTTCAGCTTCTTGAGTGTTTGTATCAATATTCCTTTTCAAACAGTCCACCACTCAAAACTTATCAGTTTGCGTACATATTCGTGTATTAAAACAATTAGTCCCTTTGATAAATTTGAACAAGGCATTAAGAAGACAAATTTCGCGAGATGATATCATTTCGTAGTTTCTTTACAACCGCTTTACAACTAACATGGTTAACAATGATAAAATAAAGTTCATGAAAATTACTCAGTTAAATAAAAAACAAAAGTACATACTAATGACCAATCATATTAAGATAGGTCATGCAGTCCAGGGTAGGCGAAGATTGAAGTCTATTGATTTTTGTACACACAGTTTAGGCTGTATGTGATTAATCCAAAGTGCTTCCATCACCTTCAATAACCTTGAATTAGAGTTATGTGAAATAATTGTAAAACAGTCATTAAAATTTATTTTGTGACCAGACATTAATAGGTGTTTTGCAATGGATGATGCTGGATTTCTATTAAGATTAATCGCGTTGGGATTTTCGATATGGTTTACTAGCCATTTTGGAATATGTTCTTTTCGACGACATTGGAACATTCTGTTAGTTCTACCTATATAGGTGTCACCGCAGCTGCAGGTGAACTTGTAGATACAGTTTGTAGATACAGTTTGTTAACCATGTTAGTTGTAAAGCGGTTGTAAAGAAACTACGAAATGATATCATCTCGCGAAATTTGTCTTCTTAATGCCTTGTTCAAATATTCGTGTATAATAATTTTTCACTTTTTATTTTTATTCATTTCATTTTGTGTGATATTCAAAAAAAATGGTTTGAAATCGTTAAATGAAGCCTTATTATTTTGTCTATATTGGTAACCATGGCATTCATCACAGGAGTCAGTGATTGATGTTATAGCTGTGCTTACTAAACTAGATGAGTCTAATTCGAAGTTTCCACTGTGAAGATAAAGATGTTTACTCAGGTTTAGTGAGCCTATGAGTTTTTGAAGGCCAGTTGGTTAATGTCACTACTTGCCTTGCAGTAAATAACATACCATATCCTCATTCAATTTAACAAAGGCACCAGAGTGAATAAATCTCGTCTCATTGTTTGCATGTTACAAATGACATTTCTCCTACGAGATTTAGAAAACACGGTTTTCGTCGTGTGTAATGGGCATGTTGTTAGCCAAATAGAAGAGATTCAAGGAAAAAGGGAAATTCAAATACCCCACCACTGTGCCAAATGGAGCAAATTTGTTAAACAACCAGTTTAAGCGTTATAGGTCACCAGTATTCAAATACAACTTACCTTTACAAAATCGATACTTATATGGACCAATAATTTTAGTTAAAATAGTTGTGCTACTAACAACGTTTTTCAGTAAATAATATTTTTGGTCAAATTATTGGGGCATTGTAATTTCCATCGTGTAAATCTTGAAAAAGTATAGCAGCGCTGAATTTCTAAAAAAACTGTCTTGATCCATTAGAAGAACTTATTTAAAACTACTTTAGAGTTGGAGATTGTAAGTGTGCGGGACAAGTACTGAAACAATAGCTTCATTCTAAATTTACCTCATCATTTTATGATGATTATATTTCAATGGCTGCTTAAACACAATACGTTTTTGATCTTATTAATATTTCCAGCAAAATTACTACCTGTGTGTAATAAAACTATCCACCAAAAAAAGTAAATATTAGCTGTAGTAGACGACAAAGTAGGTGATATATCTGTCTAACAGGCTGCAGTGTATTTCTGCGAAAGACACCATAGTTGTCGATAATAAAATACCAACTGAAACACCAATAGAAAACGAATATCTGTTGACTTCTTCGAAATAGTAAATAACTTAGTTAATAATAAAATTCACGCTTTAGTCTGTTTCTCAAAGGGTGTTCTACATTACAATAACATTTATCATGGGATTTAAGACAGAGACTGCCATCTGTTCTGGCGAACATCAAATGAGAAAATTCCAAACCTGAGTTTTCCAGATCCTTAAAGTCATAGGCATGATTAGGTGTGCAACAATTTACATGTCTATTTGGGAAAGTACACATTAGAGGGTAGCTTCACACACATACCAACTAAGTTTGAATTCTGAATCTTCAATAACTGCAGACGTATGAATTTCTCTTCATCTACATTCAAAAATTAATATACAAGCCAATAACAAGAACAATTTTGAAACACGTTTGATATTTTCTGCAGCAAAATCCAAGTATGAAGATTCTTATTTTTAGAGGCGCCAGACATTCTTAATTTTCTGACAGGTTTGCGTAAAAATAATTTGTTTAAAGAAACTTCATTATCTTTGGTCCATTATCTAACTGGAAATAATGTGGTTTGTTATTCCTCTCATGTAACTTTCCTTACTTCCAAATCTCTACAACATATCATTGTACTGGACAAATGAAATATATGCTCACACTGTACGTAAAAGTTTTGTATGTAAGTGGCTCTTTTCATATAAATTTTGTCTTATGATATTGAAATTTATTAATCATTATCAACATCATTATGCTCGCTATTGATTATAGTTTTAAGAGAATAATCTACATGCAGCGTTTTTTTCAAATCATATTACAAACGAAGTTTTGTTTTAAATATCAAGTGTCATACTAATAACCTTGAAATGAATATCTTCAACTTCTGTGCTGTGCATTAAATCTTTTATTTTACTCTATTTTTTTGTTTTACATTTCTTAAAGAATTTCACTAATTTCAAATATTGAATCATCAGTCATAAGAGAGTCTTCAAAAGGAAACTTGTTAGATCAAAAAAACACTCCAAATTCTATGAATAAAGGATGTTCTTTACTACCGAGTCAAAGATATCTGAGTGTGTTACCGGGTATCGGATGGGATAATTTAGTTAACCGTGAAAGAGGTCCTGTAATTGATGTTGAACAATATACAAACTGTCGAACTTCTGCAGATGGGCATTTTCTGATTCCAGATGATGTAATAGTCCGTACGTTCACAATTTTTTTATTCATTTTCATAATTTTCACTTACATCAACAACCTAAGTGCTAACATAGGGAAAATGCTTACTTTTTGATTGAAAATTACATTTTCTTTACGAGTACAGTTAAATTCACAATAAAATTCTAATTATTCCATGAATAGGGTGAAATACGTGAACAACGTGAATAACTTAAGGCTAAATAAAAAGAAAGTAGAATTTTAACGTAACTCTGGTCAGGGGATTATTCTTCATATTCAGAGATAACTTTAAGATAAAGTAATAACTTTATCTTGAAAAAAAAATGTTTGAATACACATTTCAGAATTCTCAGCATATTTTATCGCAAAGTATTTACACTCTATGTAGAACCTTAAAGTGTATTAATTACCGGTAGTATACCATTTGAAGCAATATTGTTCTATTCAAAGTTCACTCTAATAACCTGCTATGCTTCTCTTCCATTCCCTTCAAAAAATCTATAGCAGTTATTTGAAACCTATTTAAAAATAGGCCTGGGTACAGACTGAATATTTAAAACACAATGAAACAGAGTGAATAAAATACATTTTGATAGATGAAAAATTAGGTAACCAGGTGATTTAAGCGAATCATCATTGAACAAAGCTCAGAATGCCAGTCACCTCTCTATCTCAACTTCATCGACTTTCAAAAGGCCTTCGACAGCGTCGATCGAGAGGTCATTTGGAAACTACTTCGTTACTACGGGGTCCCATAGACAATTATACATCTCATCCAACAGTTGTATGACAATGCTGCATGACAAGTAATCCACAAGGGGAAACTTACGGAATCCTTCGAAGAAGTGAAGACGGGAGTAAGACAAGCTGGCTGGCTGCCCACTGTCACCGATGATCTTCCTGATTTCAGTAGATTGGATAATGTGACAGACAATGGCGAGCAGGCATAAAATGGACTGGTCTTTTTCGATCTTCCTAATGAATTTTATAGGATAGTTATTTAATACCAACGCTGTTTTTATCTGTTTTATATCAACATTTAGGTCTTTTTTGTGCTACCTAGTGCCACTGCTCGGTTTTTTTTTTTTTGATTTACAGCTTGATTCCACACTGTATTTTTGGTACAAGTATGGAATTTTCAGCATGGATATCGGTAGCCCAAATTTTGCAGGCCGACCATTGATATCAGGTATGCGTCGGCAGGGGATCGAACCTCGGACCATGTGCATGGTTGGCGAGAGTCCTAACCACTGTGCCACCGACGCACAGTTTGTTAAACACTTAACTAAGCCTGCCTTAACAGTTAACGGATCAGAGGAATTAAAGTCTAAATATCTATTAGAATGCGTTGGTTTTCTATAGACACTAGTGTGTAATTTGCCTTCTTCTATTCGTTTTATGAATTAAAGTCTAAATATCTATTTAACTATCCTATAAAGTTCATTAGGAAGATCGAAAAAGACCAAAAGCAAAGTAAAAATAATTGTGAAACTAGTAATAATAACATAAATAAGAGAGAATATAAGTCATCTACACTTATACCATATAAAGAGGGGACATCTGAGACCCTACGTAGGATTCTGAATAAAATAGGAATTAGGGTGGCATTTAAACCTATAAACTCACTCAGGGACAAGCTTTGTAGGTTAAAGGACCCTGTCGGTTGACCCGATTAGACAAAATAATATAATTTACAAAATGACTGTGAGTTAGGTCAACTACATAGGTCAAACTAGTAGGTCAGGGGTAGTCAGATTGTTAGAACATAAGAATTTAGGGTGGAGAGAGAGGTTGATTACTGAATCCTTGTTCATCGAATCTACACCCAACACAACACAACACATACAATAGGAATGACTCATCACTCATACCGGAAATAAGGAGAATACTACTACCAATCAAATCAAACGATGAAAAACAATGGAACTATGTAAATGACGTTAGGAAGTTGTGTGACTACCTTGAAATGATTATGAGCAATAAATTGTACTCGAAACCTTATATTTTGTTCCTGTTAAGCGACACTTATTTGATTTGAATGAAGTACGTTGAAATTTACTTATTTTTTTCTAAATAACTCTTGGAAATATTAATGCAGATAAAATAAAACCGTTTTACGCTGACTTATACAATGAATTCTACATATTCTGACGAACAAAGTACAGTAACGTGAGTATTTTTGAGAAATTCATTTAATAAGGGAATTGGTGATTAGGTGACATGTACCAAGTGTGACTAGCGAATCCACTGGAAACGTTTTTTGTCAGAAGCAGATTTTTGTGTTCAGAGTTTTCAGCATCATCGTACCTAAGTGACTGGCATATACATTTTTCAATAATCCTTTTTTAACTGATTAAAAATGACCACATATTGTTTTACTACTATGAAATTGACTTCAGACTATTCTGTTCTGAGCAGCGGTTGTTTTAAAAAGGTCATCTCTGCCTGTTTATTGACATATTCGAAGCTGTTACCTAATTTAATGTGTCTGATACACCTAGTCTAACATTTTTGAAGTATTCGCAGTATGAGCTGTGTTCCTTTCGATCATGTGCTTATGTACGTTGTTTGAATATGGTAATAAAAACTCAGGTTGTTTGAGACAGTATAATTCGGTTAATTAATTAATTAACAGGAGATACAAGTTAGAAAACTAGTGTATTATTTAATTTACTGACAAGAGTAAAGCCCATTAATACAAGGCCGCTAACTTTACACTCTTCAGTGAGAGCTGAGTGTCACATTTTTTAACTACAATATAAGACGATGAAATACTGTCTCTATATCAACCAATATGTGTTTATTGAAGTCACCTTTTCTCCATCTGATATTTGTCATGCTGATTTCAGTGAAAACTAAAGTGCCTGTTGATATGGATTATATAGCGAGTTAGAGAAAATACTTATTGACAGCTATTCAAGCTGCTTATAGTACTCATCAAATTCAATTCAGTAGGAAAGAAAATAAAAGTTTTTCAGCTTAATGGTGTGATACAATGTACTGGTAACTGATATCACTTAGTAGAAACCACTCACTACATGACCAGTTTTTTTCATTTCTGTATGAAATCGTTTGCAAAGTATTCAGTTCAACTTATTTCACAGAGTTGAATCAGTTCCAGGCACCTTAATTCCAGTCAGCTAATTGGGACAACTGGCAATACATCGAATTCATCATTTACTACAGTTTCTTTCGTGTACGGAAAACAGTAGAATCATATTATGTGGTTCTCAGCTTCTCTGTCCTACTTGTAACGTGCTTATCATAATTTAGAAAGTGTTGAATTCTCCTCAAGTAATAGAAATCAAACACCAACTCTTCACAGAAACTGGAAACCACAGAGTTCGAAATCACTCAACATGATGATTAATTTATTTTAATTTTAAAATAAAAAAAAACATCATATTACCTATCCCTTCGATACACTGATTCAGTTGGATCACACTTTCTATATTCTTTACACCTAGAACCACTGAAAAACTCCGAAGTGAAGTTAACCTCCGAAGTATATGAGTCAATAAGTCAGTGTCGTTCCTTGACAGCCTATTCAATTAATTCAGCACTGGAAGGTGGTTATTCATTTTTCCGTATTAACGGAGACTTCTCATTTGATAAAGAAACATTACGTGAAAAACTGGTATGCAAAAACTTCCATTTTTTTATTATCTCAGATTACATTTAATTGAGTTTTCATATTAATTTACTTGTTAATAGGCCACTGATCGTATTCAAATGTATAGTTTTTTCCGACAGACTTAATTTCGTCTCCTCATAACAAATAAGTGATTCTTGACTTGTACAAAAACCACAAAATAAAAACAGTTTTTGCATCTCAGACTGTGGGGAGTGAGAAGACAGGAATACGCTGCACTAAATGATAAGAAGACTGTAGAAGATCTGGATATCGTGGATGATCTTTGTCCAGTGTCACACTAACTCGAAGATCTACAGACGAAAACCAACGAACTGAAATAGGAACCTGGCAGCGAAGACAGAACTCCTGGTGAACATAGAGAAGACGGAGATGATGAAGATAACCGACGAACCACCACAACAACGACAACATCCATCACCAATCAACATCAACTGGAGGTCACTTCCTCCCTTCACTTATTTAGGAAGCATAGATAGTTTCAACCACAACGCGGGTGAGGAATGGATGAAGGTGTGAAAGCCTGCCAGATTCGACAAAGCAGCAAACACCTTCATCAATATGAAATCGTTTTGGAAATCTTATGCACTCCGCCTCAGCTAGCATAGTCAACAAGATTTGGATTTTCAACACAAATGTGAAGTCAGTCAGTTCTTTTCTATCAGTCAGAAAGAGACTCGGCGCCTGAGTCACTGAAAGCATTTCGAACAACTCGGTGGTGATATTTATGAACAGCTGCTTTCGCTGGCTCCATACAGAAGATCGAATGGTGAGCCAGGAATAATTAGCAACAAGGAACTATGGGAACAAACTAAGCAAGTAGCTATCACTCAAAAAATATGTAGAATAAAATGTAGATGAATAGGAAACACACTGAGGAGATCGTCGAGTGACATTGCATTTCAAACCAGGTCGTGTGGCGTAACTCGAATGTGAAATGAGGAGTGTGTCGTCCGAGGGTGACATGGAGGAGATCGTTTCCTGGTGGTTGTGGTGGTGGTGGTTGTGGGGTGGGGAGCTGTAGGAGATAAGGGATTTTGAGCAATCGTAGGTCCATCTAAAGAGGACGGCAGAAATTGGAAGACAGTGGAGATGTGTTGTTGAAACTATATGTTCTACTCTGTGCAGTGAAACATATTTGTTTTGATGTTTATTATGGTTAAATGAAGCAATTTATTTAATCACAGACTTATTCTTGTTACTGGACAGTAAATGACATACGTAGTCCTAAAAATATTATTTCAATAACTACATTTGTGGAGAATAAATTGATATAAAGTTATATTACTTTTCGAAACGATATCAGTTAGGGAACTGCTGAAAACCACTAAATTGCTGTATTGTCCTATTTCTAGGAATTTTTATTACTTTGCACTTATGATGCCATCGTGAACTTAACCAAAGCTATTCAGTTTAGGACTCAACGATGTTAGTATTTAACCGCTGGGCTGAAAAATATTCTTCAATAATGTCATACTTATTCTGACACAGGATACTGTGCTACCGACATAGCTTTCAGTGCATATCAGTAAATAACTAAGGGGTTGATTTCCTGCGCTTCTAGAGAGAATTAATGGTTGGTGACCTCCATGAAGTCATGGATGAAGACTGTTTCTCACCAATTACATCGGTGAGATTATCACGCCAACTATGTTTTTCGATTCAGGTGTTATGAATTACTATCTGGTCAACTCTGTTGGCTCAACATATCTTAGGTTTATAATAAAGGTATTTTTGTATTTCCCAATGATATATACCCAATGCCCAAATTTTTTTATACCGTTAAAAGTGAACTTGGTTTGGACATATATAATATCTTAGGTTTATTAACACTGATGAGAGCGAGTGTTTATTCGCTTCATTAATAATCACCTACATTGCCAAATAAAGCTTCTTACAATATAGCTACAATAAAGCTGTCAATGAAATGATAACCCTTCAAATATGCACCTCCTCGTCATGTATTGCGACCTCACTTCAACTGAAGTCATCTTTCTGACAACTTCTCTACGGAAGCCTTTCCTTCACAGTGTTGAATTAAAAGAACGAGAGTTACAGAGTATTTTCACCTTCCTCTTCCTATCATACTTGACAGGAAAATGACAGGATGCCATAAAATTGTCAACCACCAGGTATAACTCGAAGAATAGCCTTGAATATACTTTAATGAGACTTCATCTACGTCATTACGACTAATGATTTTGAATAGATGTAACATTAACATTTTCCGATAGTATCTTGCAGTTTCGAACGACACTGTCATTAGCAAATTTTTTTTATCAAAAATCGTTTGGCAGCTACACACGCTTTCAAATTTACTTTCATCAAACAGTACCATCCAGTTTGTATCTCTTTAATTGCGATCACAGGACAAAATTTAAAGCATAAACTAGGACTTGTTATCTTTGTTGTGATACTTAGCTGACACGTAACGAAGGTCACCTTCAATGTGATTCCACTGTATGATCCCATGAAACAATTATCATTTGTATGATAGAAAATTTATATCTGTATTTAAAAAACCATAGTTGAATAATCTTTTTGGTCATGCAAATCGAACAATCTTGATTAATAGACAATACTCAAGATATACTCAAATTATTATTGTCATTCTCTTAGGTTCAGAGTTGAACATAAGGCTACATCAACACATAGTCATTTTAGACTGTCTTCTGCAGTTACTTTTAGCTAGCTCCACGATTGCTTGTGATCTTTCACCTTCTCCTCACACGATCTGCTGCATATCAGCCTCTGAAACCCAAACCTTGGTTTTCCGTTCAAGTCCCACTCTATTGCTTGGCGTGGGGTGTCACTCAACGGTCTCTTCATTATGTATTGCATCCATTTCTATTTTCTTCGGTATAACTGTTGGACAAAAGGCTCTTGCAGTATATGGTGAAGGCAGTTTTTGATGAATTTTCGGTGACTTGTCAAATCTCTAAACCATATAGAAGAATAAGCTTGACATGAGTGTGAAATCTGAATCTTGTTCTTTGTGCTTAGTGCAGCAGGTTTCCACTCTGATTTCACTATCATGAAGGTCTATTGTGTCTTTGCGATCCTGGATTTGACATCTTCATCCGTGCCGTGCTGTCCACAGTCGAAATGATGCTTTCCAGTTGACGGAAAGAAGTGACTTCCTTAAGACTCCTCTCATTGATGGTGATTGGTACTACTTTTATACTAAGCATAGACTTCACGCTTTCCTTCTGTAAACAAGTGAAAGCACAATTTGGTAAGATCATGAGATTTTTTAATGTTTGCTTATTTAATTGTCCTGAAACACTTTTCTTATTTCATTTGATAGAGTCAAAAATTAGGTCTTATTGTTCAAAGTGAAATGCGTCATAATCGTTACTTTGTCCAACAAATACCAGATCCCAAGTTACATTCACGTTTCAAAAATCGTCTGTTAGACATAGCTGCATATCTAGAACGTGGAAATGTTACAATGGAATCGATTGAATTATTTAATAATGGTTTAATTGGAAATAATTTAAGAGATTCTACGGGTACATTGACGAATGATAATTTTAAATCTTTAAGCGAGGGTATGAATGCATTTTATCTAGCTGATTTAGTTGTTCGGTAAGTAAATCAAGTGAAATTCCTTATCTACTGTAATCATTCGTTTCTTTTTGTGGAATAGGCAATTTAGTTTTTGAATAATGGTGAGCAAGTTGTAAATTATTACTCATTCAACCTACATCAGATCGGACTTCTTGATGATAGTCTTAGGACCAGTTTAGGTAGGGCTATGAAATCACGTTTTTGAAAACTCGGTAGTCTCAGGTAAAATTCATGTGCTCATAGGTTATCTGTATGGCACCGAAATTATTGTCAGAATCACGAACCCAATCAGTCATACATTAAATACTGCTAACTTATATGAGTATTACACACCATATACCAGCAGCACTTTTGCACTGTGTACATTAATTTCATTGTTCTTAATGAATTCCCTGATTACTTAACTAAAAGATCACTATTTGACCAAAATACAGATGGTATTGTGTTCAGAATTTCACACTGTGATTTTTACAGTAGTATAAGGTAGTAGTGGAAGTGTGGACCCCTGGTTAAAACACTAGACTTTCAGCCAAAAATCCCTGGATTCGGACCTCATTTCATTTATCTTATCCTATGTAACTGAGTAGTATCATCAGCCCTAATAAAGTAAATACAGCTGAAAATCCGATACTGAGTAAGTGAGTTCTAACTAGTAGCTAATAGGCGTTTCATTACAGTATGCATTCAGTAGGTTTTCGTTGTGATGGAACACACAATATATTTGAGATTAAATGAATGGTTACTCTTAGAAAACATATTTCTGTACTGAACTTCCACCTGTTGTTTAAACATATGCAGAGGTTTAAAAGGGCAAGAGCGACGAACTGATATGACTTTATCTAATCGGTGATTGTCAACTTCATACAACCTGACATAATTTTATAGTGACGATTCCAAATTCCCACATACTTAAAATATTAAGCGTGAAGACGAAAGCCATTAATGTTACGTTTTCAAGAGGACAATGGAAGTCAATTGCCAGTGTCTAGTGAACTAAGAAGTACATTGGCGTTTCAGCGGTAGAATACTTGCCAACCATTTTTGATCCTGAGTGCACTCCTAAGTTTGAAGGTTGAGAGGAAGGCTAGCAATCCCATTCCATAAGAAATAAATACCGTTGTTACTGGAAAACTCTAAAACTCAAGCCTAAAACCCTTTTTGTTCCACGCAGAACACAAAGCAATACCAAAATACAAATGAATGCAAGGGAACGCAGGTGGTGCAACTCTACAGCAGCACTCTTCTAAATGCAAAGCCTAATGCCACACTTGATTATGGTAGATGCGCTACCGATGCATCGATTTAGCACCCAAATTATGTTCAGTTTCTTGTTCCGCCATGGTCAACTTGTTTGCTTCTTTTTATAGCAAGTAATTTTCCGTTACCATTCAAACATGTCCCGTGTCGTCCATATTAGATAAGTTTATTTTATATATCACACAGTATTAACAATTGGATGATGACGTTTCGAGTACAAATTACTGCTCATAATTATATCATTTTAGTCAGATGGTTTCACGGTTTCCACAGAACTGGGATGGTAATTAAACCAATCAACTCTATCGGTTTAAGAAATTAATAGACTGAATTAAGAAAAATAACATAATTTGCCAAATACCATGTAATGACTGTGAGGTCAAACTAGCAGATAACGGTCGACTAGATTATTGAAACTCAAAAATTTACCTAGAATGACTGACACTGATAAGCTGAATAACCCAGAAAAAAAATCAGCCACTGCATTGCATTCACTTCCTTATAATCATAAAATAGGGTGGGGCAGAGTGAGAGTATTAAAAAAAATTTCATCAAAAAGTGTTCAAAGTCGAATCAAAGCACCAACAAAGAACCATCACCAAAGACCAAAAAGAAATTCATCCTACCATACATCAGAAATATCTCTGAAATAACGGCTAGAATACTGAAACCGTTTGATATAGGTGTAGCACACAAACCAGCCGAATCGCTTAATTCGATCTTATGCAAACCAAAAGATCCGATAGAAAAAGGAGATAAAATTACCACCATTTACAAAATAAATAATATGAACTGTAATAAGCATTACATCGGCCAAAGTGGGCGTCCCTTCGAATAAGAATGCAAGAACACAAATCAGCCGTGAAAAGACATGATACAAATTCTTTAGTATCAATGCATACAGACAATTATGGACATCAATTTGATCGGGATAATATCAAAATCTTAAACAGAGGAAACACCAAATGTGCCAGGAAATTCCTAGAAGCCTGGTACTCAAACGAAAATGCCATTAATAAACACGTTAATATAGATGAAATATACCAACTAATAAAAAGTAAATCAGGTGACCAGAAAGTTTAAAATCCCAATCAGTAAGAGACGGTCAATACATATGTAAAGATGGTTGGTCACCAGGAGACGCAATTGTGTCATCATTCATGGAGATTTTAAATCATTTGACTTTAAACTAAATACTTCGCTGAAGATGTCATCCAGAAAGACGACGAAAGCTCCGCAACTAAACCAACCAGCTCAGAGAACACTATTAATTGCAAGTATTAAAAAGTAATATAGTCAGGTGAAGAGAGAAGTTAATCACTGAAGATTTTTCTGTCGACTCAACACCACACTTCTGCAGTCGGAACGATGAGATGCCAATATCAGAGATATGGAAATTAGCAACAAACAACAAGAGGAAGAGAGAGAAACATATTTAGGACAGCTTGTGAAACTGTGTGACTAAACTGTTATGATTTTGAGCAATAATTTATCCTCAAAACATCATCCACTTGTTAATACTACACCACTATGTGATTATTAAAATAAACTTATCTAATGTAGAATTTCTTTCTACCATAATGCCCTGGTTCTGCACTTACAGTAATGTCTCCTATGTGCATTTTACTAACTTACTTTTCCCTCCCCCACACTTGTCAGTTTGACACTGAACCTCCTGCTTCTCATCTAATAACAATTTTCACGCAATTAAATTTCGAATCCTTCCTTCCAATGTGTCAGTAATTATCATTCAATTTCTTTTAATCGTGAGAAACAATTTGTGAGTAATTGTGTCAAGCATATCATGCCGGTCTATTACTCGACAGTAGCTTACTATACCTTTTCCATTAAATGTAAATATGGTTGTACAACCTTTGGAGATGGTTTCGCCGATGAGGAAAATTTTCTTTACTGAATGGCCTTTTGCTTCCCCTTATGATTCAATAGGAATGACGAATTTTATAAAAAAGTTTTTATTGATTAAAATTCACATCAGTAACCACTGGTGCGAAGAGCTTTAAAATTTCCTAAATTATATATTTTATTGATTACTGAAATGTATATTCCAATGGTGAATGCGTTAAAAACCATAACTTATTTAGTGGTTATCTCTGTTTGTAAGACAGTTAATAATATCAACAATGTTGTGCTATGTGAGCCTTCTTAGTTAATTGACTTCAATGATTTGCATTTTCTCATGCCCCTATCGACACTAAGTAAAATTCTGAGTCTCATCATCCTGGAGAGAATAAATGACGCACTGGATACAGAACTCCGACTAGAACAAGCTCGATTCAGGAAACCAAATCATGTTCTGATCAAATCGCAACTCTACGCATCATCATCACAGAACAAAGCATGGAATGGCAATCAAACCTCTACCTCAACTTTATGGACTTTGAGAAGGCCTTCGACAGACAGCGTTGACCGCGAAGTAATTTGGAAACTACTCGAGTACTACGGCGTACCCCAAATATTCATCAACCTTACTCAACAGCTGTACGACAACGGCCCATGTCAAGTGATCCACAACGGAAAACTCAGCGAGGCATTTGGAGTAAACACAGGAGTCAGACAAGGGTGCTTATTATCACCCAAGATGATATTCTTTATTGTGGTGGACTGACTGAATTATGTGTCAGACAGTGGGAAACAAGAAGACAGGGATATCCTGGACCGACGTGAAGAACCTACCTAGAAGACCTGGATTTCACACGTGGATGGTTTATGTTTGATGTCACACAAAAATCGAAGACTTACAAGCGAAAACGGACAAACTGGTCGAAGAAGCAGCCGGCGAAGACAGGACTCCAGGTGAACATAAACAAGATGGAGGTGATGAAAATAACTAACCAACAACAACAACAGCAGCAGCAACATCCAGCGTCAATCACCATCAACGGGAGGGATTTGAAAGAGGTTATCATTCACTTATCTAGAGAGCATTGTATTAACTACAGGCAGTCGGAACGGAAGAGGATGTCAAATCGAGCGAGAATCGGGGAGGGGGCGAGAAGCACATTCATCAACCAACCTGAAACCAATCTGGAAATCTTTGTCACTCAGCTAACATCAACAACAAAATTCGGTAGGATTTTCAATACAAACAACGTCAAGTCAGTCAGTTCTTCTATACGGATCAGAAACATGGCGGGCGAGTCACAACGAATATTTCCAACAGCCTGTTGCAGACCTTTATTAACAACTGTCTTCGCTGGCTCCATACTGAAGATCAGATGGCCGGGTCGGAAAGAATCACCAACAAGAAACTATGGGAACAAACAAAACAAGAACCAATCGCCAACCAACAAATATGCAGGAGAAAGTGGATGGAGATGGATTGGACACTCGCTGAGGAGGTCGCTGGGTGATATCGCGTGCGCATCAGGCCATTGCTCGAGTGGAACCAGGCGGAAAGGGAAGCGGAGGCGAGTGGGACGTCAGTGTAATGGTGTCATGGAGGAGATCGTGTGTGTGAAGAGGAGTTGAGACAGTATGGAGTAACATGGATTCAGGTGAAAAGTACAGCAGAAGGAAGAGAGAAGCAAGTGGAGACGTGCAGTTGAAGCCCTGTGCTCCACTAGGAACCCAAAGGAACAATAATAATAATTTGCATTTTCAATATCCACAAGAGTATAAAGCATTAGTGCAGAAACAGACAAGACTTAAAAGCTTTTTAAGAAATGAAAAAAAGATGCGTACACAATATTCTATAGACAGTTTCAATTTTACTTAGGAATGTTTAATATTAATTTTAGCAATTAGTTGTGACCAATGAAAGATGACAGACAACGCTCAAACAAACAATAAAGGCAATTAGTTGGTCATCATTCAGTGGGGCCTGAATGATTTTTGACGTTATTAATGTTTACTCTTATAGATGTCAAAATAAAGGAAATTAGTAAACGTAGGCTAAGGGTATAAGGCATGTTGCTTAGTCATTAAAAGTATGTAGGTATCCGAATGAACTGGTATTTGGAAACAGTTATTCCAATTTAACTAAACAGCCAAACTACATGTCTTAAACCCTCAGTTGTACCATAAAATATACTCGTAGTTGAATCCAAAGAATATTTTGTTTTTCGTTTATCTATTGGAATAACTAATTAAAACAAAACATTTAAAGCCTAATAGTGGACATAGGCTAAGCTAAATAAAGAGTTTGAAACTTGTTGAATTTATTTCAGATTCTTTTACAATCACTAGTGTGAAGCACCGTGAACTAACGCTTAGTTCATTTTACTGCCGTATATGAATAATTATTGGTAATCTATTTACAAGTAAACATGTTTGTAAAGCCAATTTATCATTATAACTTTTCTATTTAAATAACACCACAGAGATTTTGGCACTCACTGCATCAATTCAATTCATGCTGGTGCAGTCTTAGCGAAAATTGATACATTAGACACAAGTTCATTCAATATCAAGAAAGAAGACAGATGGAAATTAGGCGCATCAGCTTCAACAAGCTTTGCAAATCTATTCAACTTCAAACTAGAAGGATCAACGAAAAGCAACACCTCTATAGTAAGTTCACTTTAACAAAAGTGTTCTTGATCTTATCAGACTGTTTGATAATCCAGGAATATTTAAATAAGTTTTTTTTTGAAGGAATGTTATAAGAGAGGTCGGTAACGGTACAAAATATCAGAATAAAAATTCAAGCTAATGAAATAATATTGTAACAGTATATGATGATATATACAGTTAGTGAGTTAATATAGAAATTAGTGGTTATTTAGTGAAACAGTTAAAATCCACTGCTACAAATTATTAATATAATCCACAGAACAGTTCACTGCTGAGGTCATGTCTACTAGAGTAGGACCTGTGCACCGGTTGTAGAATATTCTTCTGATGAGGAGGAGAGATTCCTGCAAAATCCAAAGGATACAACAAAGTTGGTGGTGGTGAAGCAAGTAGACAGTATGGACCAGTGAGAAGACGAAGTGACGAGCAGCACACTATATATATTTTTTGTACTCCAAAGTTATTTATATTCTACAATGAATTGTTTTTTTTTAAAGTTATGTACAATATTTCCATTTGCAACATCCAACAAGAAAACTGCAAAATCATATTGTTCCAGACTTTTGTTTTCGATTTAAAGTTAAAGATAGATAAAATTCAAGCAATTTACAACAGTAGTAAGATGTACGACAATGCTGCATGCCAAGTAATCCACAACGGGAAACTTACGGAAGCCTTCGAAGTGAGGACGGGAGTGAGGCAAGGCTGTCTACTATCACCAATGATCTTCCTGATTGCAATCGATTGGATAATGCGACAGACAACGGCAACCAACGAGGGAACAGGCATAAAATGGACTGACACAAAAGACTTGGAGGATCTGGACTTCGCCAATGACATATGTCTGATTTCCCACAAACTAGAAGATATGCAAGTGAAAAGCAACAAGTTGGCAGAAGAAGCATCAAAGATAGGACTTCAAGTGAACATAGATAAAACAGAGGTGATGAAGATTCCTAGCCAACATCAACAACAACAACAGACAACAATCAGCATAAGTGGGAAGAACCTGAAAGAAACAGCCTCCTTCACCTACCTGGGAAGCATCGTCTCAACTACAGGCGGAACTGACGAGGATATCAAAGCCAGAATCGGAAAAGCAAGACAAGCTTTCATTACTCTCAAATCTGTGTGGAGGTCAACAGCACTCAGCATCAAAAATAAGATCCGGATTTTCAACTCCAATGTAAAGTCAGTGCTACTATACGGATCGGAGACTTGGCGAGTCATAAAGAGCATCTCAAACAAACTTCAGACCTTCATTAACAGCTGTCTTCGCTCAATACTCAAGATCAGATGGCCGGCCAGAAAAGATCAGCCACAGGGTGGGATCTCTGGCAATGAGCGAACCAACACAAAAGGAACCGGTTGTGAAACAAATAGGCAGGAAGAAATGGAGATGGATTGGCTGGCCATACGCTGAGGAAACCATCAAGTGACATCACTAGACAAGCCCTCGAGTGAAACCCGAAAGGGAGGCGGCGAGTTGGTCGTCCAAGGGTGACTTGGAGGAGGTCATGCGAGGAGGAGATGAAAGCATGTGGACAGACCTGGAGCAGGGTGAAAAAGTTGTCAGAAAGCAGAAGGCAATGGAGGTGCACAGCTGAAGCCCTATGTTCCTCTAGAAACTAAAGGATACAATAATAATAATAATAAAATGTAGTGGTGAGTGAAATAAATTTACACGCAGTTGAGAATTCCGACTGCTCATCGGAATTTGCTCCACGCTTTATTTATCCAGAGTTGGTCGAGGGAATAATAACAAACATGTAGTTAACACTTTATCCTTCAATATAAACTGCATAAATTACTATTTCTGTAATGGCTATCACAAGAATCATTTCATTCCTAAACAATAGCAGTAGAAATTAAAATACCTAACAGAATCATGCGACCATTCTAACAATTCGCCAAGACAACTTTTAGAGAAAAACAAAAAGATTTTCAGTTGGATGACAATGGTATAATAGTGTCCTTTGATGTCACACCATTACATACTTCAGTTAGTCAAAAAATAGCAAAAGTAACTATGCAACAATAACTCTATTGTGATGAAAACATAAAAACGCCATTTTCAACTTAGATAGAACTCGCAGAATTATGTCTTACAACATACTTTCAGTTCAATACTCAAATATACGAACAGATAAAAAGAACACCAATAGGATCGTCCATATCAGGAAAAATAGTTGAAGCCATCATGCATGGATTAGAATTAATAGCTCTACCTATTATTATTATTGCTCCCTTGGGTTCCTAGTGGAACACAGGGCTTCAACTGCATGTCTCCACTTGCTTCTCTCTTCCTTCTGCTATACTTTTCACCTGAATCCATGTTACTCCATACTGTCTCAACTCCTCTCCACACACACGATCTCCTCCATGTCACCCTTACACTGACGTCCCACTCGCCGCTTGTTGGACGATTGGTTCTTGTTTTGTTTGTTCCCATAGTTTCTTGTTGGTGATTCTTTCCGACCCGGCCATCTGATCTTCAGTATGGAGCCAGCGAAGACAGTTGTTAATAAAGGTCTGCAACAGGCTGTTGGAAATATTCGTTGTGACTCGCCCGCCATGTTTCTGATCCGTATAGAAGAACTGACTGACTTGACGTTGTTTGTATTGAAAATCCTACCGAATTTTGTTGTTGATGTTGGCTGAGTGACGAAGATTTCCAGATTGGTTTCAGGTTGGTTGATGAATGTGTCTCTCGCCTTCCCGATTCTCGACTTGAATGACTGTGACTTTCCTTCCTTTTGAGCCGAACCTGGCTGTCATTATCCTGGAAGAGATTGGTTCCCACTGCATAAGAGCTCTGGCTGCTGTTGGTGACATCATGATGACCACTGCCGCGGTGTGCTCGTCGTTGTCCTCTGGATGACCGGAATAGATTACTGTCTCTCCAGTTGATAGTTAGAACCTACCATATCCGTTCCATCTGCTCTCGCAGATACCTAACACTTCTTTTCTGTACCCTCTCATTTCAGTGGCTATCTGGGCAGCCTTTCCAGTTTCGTACATTCTACGAACATTCCAGGTACCCATCCTTACTTTTTCTTTCATCGAAAGAAGGCACATCGGCTGACTGGCTTCCCGAAGGCTTTCACCGGCCTTCCCCGATTCCAGTGAAAACTAAAGTTATTGTTTATATTTTTTACAATTTTTAATATGTATATATATATATATGCGCGTTGAAGTTTCTGTAGCGATTTGGTTGTTTTACGGGGGTGGAGTTGCTAGCACCACACCCCAATCCTCTCTATTTATCCGGGCTTGGGACCGGCTAGAAAACTAGCAAGCTAGTAGCCATAGATTTGTATAGGTATTTTAAATGATACGGCACAAAACAGTTGATTTTATCTCTGTGCTGGGTGCTTGTTGTCTGTCGATAGAAACACATGAAGTGGAATTTCTTATTGAGTGGGTGTTATCAATGATAATTGTACCTCTCACTCAATGCAGAGAAAAGAGAATTTTGTAACTGAGTGTCTAGATGAAGTGACATTTTCAAAACAGTCTATATTGCTTCTTTCTCCTATATATATATATATATATATATTATTTGTTTGATAGTTAGTAATGTTTACATAACATGACCATTAAAAATGCATTGATTAAACATTGTCTCATCTCAGTCATGCACATTATTGTTCATTGGTAGCCAAACCCGTGTTTTCAGTAAAAATCAATGTAATTAATTGATCGTAGTGGAACAGTTATTGTGCAACAAGCAGATTACTGTAATAACATTCTCATTTATCAACTAATGCATTATTTGTGTATGCCTACGGTCGGTCTGTGTAATGCAGTTACCTCTGTACATATTGATAATCTTTATTCACATTCATTTTACTGATGAAAAAGTTTCTAGAATAACAACTGAGGCCTATTTCTGTTGTAAATGATTAAGCCAACTTCAACATAAAGTTTCAAATTAGGAAAAGTTGAGAATTGTTTTCTGACATCAGTGAAGAAAATATTTAAATGCGACGCGTTGATTGAATATTATTATTTCAGTTGAATTGAACCCTAGTAATACTTCGTACTTTCCTGAGGAGAGTTTCTTTCAAGAAACTAGTCTCTTGATTGTCTTACTACTTTTAAATGTAATGAGCACTGTTGTGTGCTCATAGTGTGTGTGTGTGTGTGAACCTAATGACGGTTAATTTATCTAACAACTAGATCAGGGATGGCTTTATTCATTATAAATATTTTGACTTCTCATTTGTATTGGGGGACTTTCGGGATTTTGAAGTGATGTAATAAGAAAGAGTTCAAACTGGGACCGGGAGTTAAAGTTGTCAGTTATTATTATTATTGTTGCCTTGGGTTCCTAGTGGAACACAGGGCTTAAACTGCACGTCTCCACTTGCTTCTCTCTTCCTTCTGCTATACTTTTCACCTGAATCCATGTTACTCCATACTGTCTCAACTCCTCTCCACACACACGATCTCCTCCATGTCACCCTTACACTGACGTCCCACTCGCCTCCGCTTCCCTTTCCGCCTGGTTCCACTCGAGCAATGGCCTGACGCGCACGTGATGTCACCCAGCGGCCTCCTCAGCGAGTGTCCTAATCCATCTCCATCCACTTTCTCCTGCATATTTGTTGGTTGGCGATTGGTTCTTGTTTTGTTTGTTCCCATAATTTCTTGTTGGTGATTATGTGTCAGTTACTAAGATCAAATTCTGCCAGGTTCTGTGTTTTGTGTCTGCCTCTGTTTAGATATAGATGACTTCATTATACTTTGATTTTTCACTAAGCCAGTAGAAAACTATTCAAGAATTGATCATTTTCCCATTTTGTAACAAACGGTATGTGTCTTTTTTGGATTGTTCCTGCAGTTTAATTATCTACTGGTCTTTGTCGATCTTGAAATCTGCAAAAGGAAACGAAAGAATATAAGTGAGTTTGGCACTGACCAACCAGAACGCTGTAGTGTGAGAAGTCAATAAGGTATACAGAACTCCTACAGCTGCAAAGTGAAACTGTAAATAATTCGGCTCATCAAGATTAGTTTTAGTGCTATTACTCACCTTTAACATCGGAAAACACTGTATTAGAAACACAAAATGTTAGGAAATAGCTCATCAAAGTGATCACGACTTCTGAGAACACAAAAAAGCATAACATTAAATTTGCAAGAAATTGTGGTGAAACATAACTCCATATTTACAAATTAAATCATAGTGTTGAGAAAAACTTCAGGAATAATTATGAATAACCTTAAATGATACACGCTTCTGTAGTTTTTTTTAAAAAAATATCTTATTTTTAAACTGCCATTTCATAGGTAGAAAATTATGAAAATAAAATAACCTACAGTGAAATCGTAACTTATGGTGGTCCAATCATACACATGTCTAGCGTTAATTTGTCCTACTGGGAAGCTGATCTAGATAATCAGTTAGTTGCTATCGACAGAAGTGGACAACCAATTTATGAAATTATTACGGATAGATCACTACCTGAATTGCCTGGAAATATGATATTACGTCTAACTGCTACACTGAAATCAGCTGTTGAAAGATATTATAAAGCTAATACAATTGTTGGTGAGTCATTTGATTAACAATTACAGTAATATTTAATATTTAATACTAATCAGTCTAAGAATATCTGTTTATGATAAAAGTGCAATTATATTACATTAATATATATATATATATATATATATATTTACAAGCGTAGTGAATACTTTGTCTGAATTCAATGATTTATCTGTAAAATTTCATTTATTTTTTTAGCCATTATTTTTGCACACTTTAAAGATACATGAATATGATTATAAATATCCAGAATGATAATGTTTTTCTATGAAGCCAAACAGATAACAAAGCACGAAACTACTCTGTAATTGTTAGCCTAGTCGTTTTCAGGTGACTACCAACACGTACGGTGGTAAAACTATCTGATAAAATATGTAGCTCAGATCTTGCTGTACCTAAAGTCTAACACTGTTTATTTAAAATCTTAGTAAAATCATTATGGGTAAAATATGTGCGTCAGTGGCACAGTGGTTAAGACTCTCGCCGACCATGCACATGGTCAGAGGTTCGATCCCCTGCCGACGCACACCTGATATCTATGGTCGGCCTGCGAAATTTGGGCTACCGATATCCATACTGAAAATTCTATACTGTACCAAAAATACAGTGTGGAATCAAGCTGTAAATCAAAATTAAAAATTAAATTAATTAATGTCCATTAATGTTTTGATAAAGTCTCACAGTGTTATACATTAGCCTTTACTGATGACGTTTCGAGCACAATTTATTACAGCTCATAATCATATCAAGGAAATCACACGACTCCCTAACTTCGTTTATATAATTCCATCATTATTTTTCATCGCTTGATTTGATTGGTAGTAGTATTCTTCTTATTTCCGGTATGAGTGATGAGTCATTCCTATTGTATGTGTTGTGTTGTGTGTAGATTCGATGAACAAGGATTCAGTAATCAACCTCTCTCTCCACCCACCTAGATTACTTTTTCGAATTTTAGCCCTCTCCCATCCTATTGTGTGGTCGTGTGTTAATGCATGCATTGCAATGTAGTGCTGAGCTTTTTTCTAAGTTACTTATCTTCTCGGGGTAAACCATTCCTACCTTAGCCACTAAATTCTTATGTTCTGACAATCTGACTACCCCTGACCTACTAGTTTAACCTATGTAGTTGATATGTATCCATATATATGGTGATCTCTCTTTCTGTTTGCTCGCTTAGTCTGTGACCATTTCACTTTGACGAACCTGTCTCCTTTAACAGTGTATATTCCCCTTATATTATATATAATATAATATGAGCGTTGACAGTCCGTAGCTTGGTGACATATATCCATATTATATGTGTGGTTGTTGACATGTCTGCTATATTTTGCTATGTATATTTGGATCGACACTCCATTATAATTAGCCATTCATGTTAAGACTGTCTATTGATTTGTTCACACACTTGTCTGGACATTCATATATATTTCGCTCACACAATCTTGTGTGACTACTTTGGTGTGATACCACTTTTGCATTCTCCCTGTGTTTGGAAAATAGAAGTATCATCGCAAACCTAGTGGTCTTCTGATTTCCGTCTTCTTGCGTCAGGACTATTAATTTCTCGACCAGTACATAACAATAATTTGACGACGAGAACATAACAGTAGTTGACCTAACTCACAGTCATTGCAGGGTATTTTGTAAATTATATTATTTTGTCTAATTGGGTCAACCGACAGGGCCCTTTAACCTACAGAGCTTGTCCCTGAGTGAGTTTGTAGGTTTAGTCGCCACCACCCTAATTACTGCTTTATTCAAAATCCTACGTAGGGTCTCAGATGTCCCCTCTTTATCTGGTATAAGTGTAGATGACTTATATTCTCTCTTATTCATGTTATTATAACTAGTTTCACAATTATTTTTACTTTGCTTTTGGTCTTTTTCGATCTTCCTAATGAACTTTATAGGATAGTTATTTAACACCAACTCCCATTCTATCTGTTTTATTTCATCATTTAGGTGTATTTTTGTGCTACTTAGTGCTACTTGTCAGTTTGTAACACACTTAACTAAGCCTGCCTTAACAGTTAACGGATGAGATGAATTAAAGTCTAAATATATCTATTAGAATGTGTTGGCTTTTTATAAACGCTAGCGTGTAGTTTACCTTCTATTCGTTTAATTTTACAATCTAATATAGCTAATTCTCCTTGTTCGTTTTCCAATTCAAATGTGAATTTTATTCCCTCCACTAGTGAGTTTATGTGTGTCAAGAAGCTAGAGATAAGTTCTGTTTTTAACACTGTGAAAGTGTCATCCACATATCTTCACCATATTTTTGGAGTAGGATTAAATGTATTAAGAGCCATATTTTCCCAGCTTTCCATAAATATGTCTACTGCGATAGGGGATGTTGGAGATCCAATTGCTACACCTTATGTTTGTGTATGTATTTTGCCTTGAAATTTAACCATCCCTAAAATAATTTCTTTAATGGGCAGCTTTGTCCTATGATTGAGTTCAGGACCCGCAGTTAGTTCATTTTTAGCTGCTTCTAAGGACATATTGACCAGTATATTAGTATAAAGACTATTTATATCAAAACTAACCATTTTTTCATCATTCTCTAGTCAAATGTTATTTAGTTTATTTTTCATCTCATATGAATTAGTTAGTCTAGAGTTTGAACGATTTCTAATAGGGCATAATATTAGAACTAAGTGCTTTGATAATTCATATGTCGGCGTATTTCTGACATCAACTTTTGGTCTTATGGGGTAACCTGTATTTTTACAGTACCATATATTCTACTAGCGTTATTAGTTTTGAGCATTAAACTAAACCATATAGACTCACCCAGTGACAACTTCATACTACGTATTAAATCCGCTGTAGACCACTTAATCTTATTCACTACTGTATCTACAGGCTTCTTAATTTCCTCATATAGACACGTCTGAATATGTTCAGTGACTTTCTTGATATAATCAAATTTATCCAAAAAAACCACTGTAGAGTTTCTCTTATCAGCTTTTGTTTTATCCTTGAGGGTGAATCTTTCGCAGTAGGATTTCAATTACAACTAGTTTTCTGTTGGCATAAAATGAATGAAGTTAGAGGATTGCAAACCCTCTTCTAGTCTGGTTACTAGCAGACTATCTTCATATCAACATATTTCACCATGGCAATGCCACTTGTACATGAAAAGTCAGGTTTTTCTCATTTTTTCAGTAACTTAGTTAAAATTTATACAACTCAGCACTCACAGAATATACTTACTGATTTTTATACAATATGTGTATGGAGCTAGTGTTCAGTTGACATCTGATTTTCCCATTCTGCATTACTGTATACACCTTTACCTTACAGAAAATTACTTTTATTTGCAGGTTGCATGAATCCCTTATCTGCATTTTATGACAATGAAGCCAATGTAGCCTCTACGGAATGTGATATACAAAATGCCAACAAGTTGAATTCAACCTTATATCTCGGAGGTGTATTTCAAAAATGTGTCGGTCCAGATGATTTGTGCATTAGTGAAATCATAGCAAATCCACTTACAGGTGACCTGACCTGTCCTCATGGATATATGCCTGTGCAACTGTTGCCACAACAGGTTCGAAGGTGTTATAGTATATGTAACGATAAAACATGGTTTAAAACACCTGAATGTACAACAAATTGTGCTATTACAGAATCTTTCTGGTGTTCACGTGATCCATCATCTGACCTGTTAGATATCAATGATAGTGGTTACCTATTCGGTGGTTTATACACAGATAAAGAAGTGAACAGTTTAACGAAACAGTTTAACTGTCCACAACATTATTGGCCGATAGCACTTGGTAGACGTATGAGAATTTGCTTATCAAGTGATCGTGAATTAGCTGGAAAGTATTCATTACCATTTGGTGGGTTCTATAGTTGTTATTCTGGAAATCCTTTAATATCTTTAATCAATAACAATAATCAAACAGGCAAGGATGATAATTTGGCGAGAACTGCATTCATGTCAGATGGGTTAAGAGATCAGCCGCAAGGAAGAAATTCATTCATAGGAAATCCACAACAACAAAGTCGAATAGATTTAGCAACTCCACCAACATCACAAGGGCAAGAAGATATTAGTCCTTTCAGTGGATTATTCTTACAAAATGAGAATTCACAACTATTTGCGGCATTGTGGCCGAAAAGGTGTCCTACTGGATACACAGCGCATTTAGCTTCAATGGAAGACATATGTCAAGTAAGAAAGAATATTGATTTTTGAATAATTTTATAATCAATAAATCAAGTCAATGTTACTTTTCTCATTAGTCAAATTAAACGGAATCATCATTTTCTTTCTAAGTTGAATACTCTGAAAAGTATTCAGTTTGACTACTTTCTATGAAAGTATTGACGACTTTCGAATTCACAATAAAAACTTGATATCAAGTTACTAATGTAAGTTTTAAACACATAAATTCTTTTGGTTCCCAAGGCGAAGATTCCGTGAAAGGTTAAACTACAGAGAGAAATATGTTTGGCTGACAGGTTAGTTTTCACTTCTGAACATCATAAACTTTGATAGAAAAGCAATTAGTGTAGAGATATAAGTTACCAGGTAATGAATTAGTGGTCTTGAGCATTACCGGCAGAACTAAAAAAAAACACGTTTCGTGGTATTCTCTTTCATAATCCAGTGTTAAACTTGGTATTCATATGATTGAGAGAGATATGGCTGCTGATTTTTCATTCAAACACCAGTGGTCAAAATTCTACGACAGCCAACTTCAGCTTCTTTTTCCTTAAGATAAAAATTGGGCTTCTAGATAAGACTAGATAAAGCGACTCTATGCAAATATGCTGGTCAAGAAGGATTGTCTTTGGCATTACCGTATCAAGCGAACAACACAGACTCATTTTAAACTACTATTCACTAACCAACAAGCCATTATCATTATATAAATGCTATTATTTTACACAATGTATAGGTCAATTACTGTGTTCAAGCAAACGTACTACAGGAACAACGAAAACGTCAACTGAAAAGACCACCATTCGTATTACCCGTAAGTGATTTACTGTTTAATATTAATAGAAAAAATGTTCCAAACAAATAGACTTTTGAACTGAACACAATGGACCGAAGATCCTTTGTTGATTCTCTTCTGCGTTTCCCTTTGTCTGCATCTGAGTGGATTGAATAATGACTCAGATTAAAACATTTTTTTGTCATTTGCTTTCAGGAGTTAATTACTCTTTAGAAAATGATTGTTCACTGTTGGGATCACTTCGGCCTGTCCACGATTACCGTAATAACCTGAGTGGTTTCCAATAATTCACATAAATTATTAGAATGCCATAAAGTAATTTTACTATTTCAGAAAGCCTGTACTTCATAAAGAAAGGAATAGCTCCTGGTGTTTGTTTCGTATTAGATAATATTTTTAAAGTGTTCAAAGAAGAATATTAACCGCCTTACAAATCGTTTATCTTACCGTCAAACTATAAATACATTCAGGAAACTATGTACCAAAAAAGTGGTGATGATTAAAGAATAATTTATTAATATCATGCTTTCAGCAGAAATTTCGTCACCAACCAACATCAGATATAGAAATACTAAAAAATCCTGGACTGGTGTTTCGATGATTTTTAGTGTTATAACTGAGAATAGCAATACTAACGTTTGGCTTCGGTACTAAAATAGGGTAGACAACTCGACTGAAGATGGAATAGGAATGTTCGCTCTCAAATATCTCCTGCCGTACTGAGATATCAGAAAAATCAGTGGATAAGACTGGTTCAGTCTTCTCCAGACCTCACTATTATTAACTATATTAAACCAGTGAATGCGAGAAACTGAACGCAAACACCCACAGTCAAAGACGGTCGGCCTCTTCATGTCTTCGACTTTCAACCGGCATGTTTCACAGCTTCCAAGACAGACAGAGAGGACTGCTGTACAGTGCACATTAGAAGGACGAATCATATACCGTTTATACTAAGAATTTCTCTTAAGATGTTCAGGAGACTGTGTTTACTAGAAGCTTCACCTAGAAGGAATATATCTAATCGTTCCAGGTGATGAGTTAACTTTGAGATTTCAAAGTTGACCAGAATCACTTCAGTCAGGTAATATATAATTAAATGGAACAAAAATGGAGACATTCGGGATCCTTGACGGACACCATTTCAGATAACAACTTCCCATGAGCCCTAACACCGTTATGTGAATTCAGGTAGTGTCGTAAATAGTAGGATATACTCATTCGTTCCCACCTTCAAGGTTACAAACTGCTATAATACCTTTCGGTCAAAGGAGTCAAATACTCTCTTTATTTCAAGAAATATGGCAAATGTTGGACGCCAGTGAGAATGCCTTTGTTCGGGAACCTGAAGAAGGATGAATTTCTGATCAATTCACCCTCTTCCGGGGCTAAATCACGCCTAGTTTCACTGAGCCCAATACTGTCTTCTTAAAACCATGGAACATAGATTCTTATATACCGTATTAGTTGAGCGTATCCCCGTGTGATTATTCCATGAAAAATTGCCACCATTCCTAAAAATTGAGACAATCAATAATCCCCAGCCAAGTCACCTCAAAAACAGCATTTATTGTTCCTGAATCCCTACGCTACATTTCATTTATTATTAGATATCTTGATATTTTCCGTTTTCAAATCATTGAACTTTATTGGTCAGGTATATAGACGTTTTAAATGAATGAAGTTAACAGCTGCTGATAAGTCAAAAATGTTTTTCTCTTCAGAAACAGAATTTCTCCAAAACACGGTAGTTATATAACTCATTGTTTTTTCAAAATAGAGGAGTCTAAAAGCCATTCTTGATTGTTATAACAAAACAATAGTGAAGATGAAAAACGTTTTATAAATTATTACAGATATACACAGATATGGGTAAACCAGTGTCATCTCCAAATAATATTCAAGGTAGATCTGCTTTACTTGAAGTAAGTCATGTAAACAGTGCACCGATAAAACACTATCTATCACCCAGCACACATTCTAATAGAATGTCACCAATTGTGTCATTTTACATTGAAAAACTCAAGTACACTCATTTTATCAACTTTTGCACAACCCACAATTTTAATTTTTTTTTCATTTAGTTATTGTATTATTTGACGGCAGCTGGAAAGACGGCCTCTAGAGATTGATAATAATAAATCTTCACACTTATACAAGTTGAACAGTTCTACCAAAAACTGAAACAGTTCTTCAGAGGTAAACACGACAAACTAAATAATAATAATAAGGCAAGAATTTGGATAGAAATTAAACCCAATAGCTGCCTTAGAAGCAAATATTTTGTACTTTGGGTTTCAGATGGATGAAATCATTTAATTTGCCAAATAGTGTGAAGCCAAATGCATATTTCAAAAAGCGTAGATTATCAAAACATAAGAATTTAGGTCAATCTAAAATGACAGAGCCCGCTGAGATAAATACCTAGGCGTCACTTTATCTTCTGATCTTTCCTGGTCGTCTCATATCTTGACGATTTCTAAGAAAATATTCCGTCTTACCTTCTACATCAAGAAGTTAAGATATTCTGGTGTAACCCAACCCTTACTCCTACAATTCGTTAACTCCCGTATTCTGCCTATTATTCTCTATTGTTGCCCCCTAGTTTATCCAGGGCTACTGAAGAAAGACTATACCTTATTACGCAGGATGTTAAAGGTTGTCAGCAGGGTAAGCAGTGTGCCACTTAGCCAGCTTGTTAATATTCTCGTCGACAGGCACATGGACTCATGTGAAAAATGGGCAAAATCCATTTTATCTGACTCACAGCACCCTCTACATTCACAACTCTCCCCTTGTATCTCTTCAGGGAAAACCAGAAGCCTATATAGGAAACTATATGCCCTCACTAGTAAGTACAAAAACTCAACCATACCCTACCTAGCCCGTGTTCTGTGCGATAAAGAAAGCATTAGGCGTGAAACCTTTAACTTATTAAATAGACAGTAGAACCAATGGATCTCGTCTTTCCAACTCACATCATTTATAGGTACAACGTTTTCTTGCTCTTCATTCTGTATTTTATTTTTGTTATGTGCTGTTTTGTTTCTCTCTTCCTTGCAAACTCTACTTAAAACATTCTTGTTCGTTCTTTCACACTCTGTATATCTCGACCATTTTGCTATCGCTTACGCCAGTAAATATGCCAGTAGTATCTACTTTTCTAACACCTTATAACACTCTGTTTAATTTTGGCTTTGCTACCGACATACTAATATGTTGTTGAGATAACTTTAATCTATGTAGAACTTTATTTATTGTTAATGTAAAAAACTGGATGCAATATTGTAGTAAGATGCTGAGAATTCCATTCTGTATCACAAGTACTGATTTGGAATAAAGCTTATGTTATGTTATGTTGCTCTAGGAACTTGATTTTCGTGCTCGAGAACACCCACTATGGCTAAGTAAAGGTGTAGTGAAAACCGTTAACAGTTCGATACTGAACCATCTGGTGCAAACCAGCCACAAAGGCAGCGTGGAAGAATCCTTCTTTGTAATATAACGGGTGCCTAATAAATTGCCAAAATCATTGAAGCACCGCACGCTCCAAACAGCAGATGCTATTGCAATTCACTTCAAACAACCAGTTCTCTGCGTTCAGAACAAGCAAATTCAGCCCCTACTACTGCCCTGGCCTTCAATAGAAACTATAAACTCATGAATTTGTAATATTATCTTTCCTCATTTTTCTAACATTCAACTTATTTTATGTTGATGCTACTGAGCTGTAATCTATCAATATTATTGATTCGATGTTACTTAAAAAACATTATTGTTGGTCATAACACTGATTCATTGATTCACTATAATGTATTGACTTCATCTCAATCTCAAGGAAGTGGAGGCGCAGCCTACTGGGCACAAAATTAAGAAGAGGAGCAGACGTTATCTCAGACCACCATCTCGTACAAGGGACAATCCAAATCAAATTAAAAGCTTTCAGGGAATCAGGGGCTGCAGATAGACCACAAGCCAAGTTCAACACTCAAAAACTGAAGGACCAGGCTACAAAGGACATCTTCATTGCAAACATAAGGGAAAAATCCGAGACACAAATCAACACCAGCGAAAAGGTCAGCGTCGAAAAGCACTGGGACAACTTGAAAACGGTGTGGAGTCAAACCTGCATGGAAGTTCTAGGCAGAAAGAAGAGACAGGACAAACAGTGGCTCACTACGGACACTTGGAAACTAATAGAAGAGAGAAGGATAGTGAGACAAAAGATTATTCAGTGCATCGACGAGCAACAAAAACAGGAGTTGAATGCAAGCTACAACACGCTGAACAAAAGAGTAAAGAAGAGTGCCAGGGAAGACAAAAGACAATATTATGAAGCCATGGAAAGTGAAGACGAACAAGCTGCAGGCAAAGGAGACCTCGCCACACTCTACCAAACAACTAGGCATATATCGGGCAAAAGTTCGACACAGATTAAGCCAGTAAAGGATGACAATGGAAAGTCAATCACCAAAGAGGTGGAGCAAAGAAAACACTGGGTTGAACACTTCAAAAGACTTCTAAATCGACTGCCACCTATAACGCGCCCAACAATACCAACAACGGAAGCAGAACTACCAGTGAACATTGACCCCACGACGAAATCAGAAGTCCTGAATGCCATCAAGATGCTAAAAGTTGGAAAAGCAGCAGGACCAGATGGAATCCCAGCAGAAGCTTTGAAAATGGACCCAGAGACAACAGCGGACTTGATGACACCACTACTGGAGAAGGTGTGGAAAGAGGGCGAAGTACCTGAGGATTGGAAGAACGGATACTTATTCAAACTACCAAAGAAAGGAGACTTAATTCAATGCAAAAACGGGCGCAGAATTATGCTTCTGTCCATTCCAAGCAAGATACTAAGTCGCATCATCCTGGAGAGAATCAAACAAGCCCTAGATGAAAAACTGCGACCGGAACAAGCTGGATTCAGGAGAAACAAATCATGTATTGATCAAATCGCCACTCTACGGATCATCATTGAACAAAGCTTGGAACGGCAGTCACCTCTCTATCTCAACTTCATCGACTTTGAAAAGGCCTTCAGCAGACGACGTCGATCGAGAGGTGATTTTGCAACTACTTCGCTACTACGGGGTGCCATCGACCATTATACATCTCATCCAACAGTTATACGACAATGCAATTAAAGGATACAATAATAATAATGTATATATATATATATATATATATATATATATATATATATATATATATATATATATAACAGTAGAGCCTGATGATGAAGTTATCGAAAAGAGTACTCTTTGTTCAGTATCCATTCTTTTAAAAATGTTAATGATCATTTTTAATCAGATAATCGGAAGATTAGAAAAGCAAAAAAGAAATTCAGGTAGTTCAGCAGCTTAAGCAAGCCGCTAGAAATATCGTGGAATAATATTAATAATAAAAACAGGTTCAGAATACGAAGCCAATATAGAAATCATAAACACTTCGAACATCACATAATCACGTCACAGACATTTAGATGATGAAAGTCTCCGTAGGAATATATGTTTTGACCATCTAACACAGGTGGACTGAACTTTCAGTGTACCCCATGTAACACTTACAGGTATGATGTGAATTAGCGAAGAAATACACAAAGTACCAATATTTGTGATCATTTGATAGAATAACAAAAAATATTTGTTCACAAATTTCACATTTCGAAAATTGTAATTCAATTCATGCAACTACGTTTTTTTGCACAAAAAATAAAAACAAAGTAACCAGTTAGTTTATTCAATTTTTAGTTTGTAAATGAGATATAATGTTTTCAATGCGTTTTAATTAAAACATCATGAAAGTGGTGTTTTATGAAATGGTGATTAATACTACTATTGTTGTTATCCAAATTTTAAATATAAACATGTAATCATAAAATTCAAATTATGTTAGGATTAAAAATGAAATTATATAAAAATAGTTAACATTATATATATATATATATATATATATAATACAATGTTAAAATGTTCTAATGGATTGAATAAAAATACGAATTCATTACTTCTCTATATGTGCACGAAATGAATTTGCTTACGTTCAGAATATTGTTTTAATTCTGAAAGTTATACCTCTGTATTGATTAAAGATGGTTGTAATTTTATCCATTATTAGTGAATATGAAAGTCAACAAAAAAGCCAGTGACAACACATTGTTACTAGATATTGTCAATCAATCCACAAGAACCTATTTCTGACCTCTGTTTCCCGCTTGTTAGCATACATACATTAATTTCTCACAGGTGTTATGCTTTCACCACCAAACTGTTTAAGTCAGAACTGATAGTAAATAAAAATCACTTCCTTAACTGATTACTTTGACTTAGTGAGCACTTTTGATTGAACACTAGTTAGTAACTAGTGTAATGTGTCAAGTCCTTTTTTGCTTTGGTGTAGACTGAGTTCTATCAGTCAAGTTTAGCAATGTGTTCACCATTCTAGGTGACTCACCATCACGATGCACTTCGAAGTGTTGATATTAGATGGTTGGAGGCAGTGGGCAGGAAGTCTTGGACCTAGGTTCCGTGCTAGATGACAAGGCTCATGAGTGCCATCTATGACGGAACCTAGGTACAAGAATTCCTGCCCACTGCCTCCAACCATCTCATATCAACAATTAGGGATCAATATTAATAAAACTTTTATCAAACAACCTAAATTGATCTTAACAGCATGAAACTTTAGAATTGTTTGAAAGTTATTTGAACATTAATTATTATCACCACAATATTAAACTACTTTGTGTAATTTCTCTCTTATTATTTTTATTTCGGGAACAGTTCTCACTTGATCCACACTTATTTAAATTAAGTGATTCAGACAATTTCATTGGTACAAGTTCAGATACACTACATGATATTAATGGTAATATGATAAAAAAAGTAAACGGCCGTTGGGAAGAGCCTGATCAATACAACGAGAATAGTAATAATTACAACAATAATGGTAATTCGAAACGTTATCAATACGCATTTACTATAACATTAAGTACACTACTGCCAATTAATGTTATTTTAATCATTATTCTATCTGTAATTTTGTTCTATTATACACGTCAAAAGAGAAGGTTAGCAGCACGGTGAAATGAGGCGCCACTACCTGGGAAGTGTATTTTTTCTCCAATTAACCACAACATAATCAATATATCATGCGATGTTTTACACGACAAAGTGATTTCTTTTTAAATTACTTGTGAAGGTGACAAATCAGACGAATTACTTTTCGATTTTCCTCATATATATATATGTAAACAAATAAACGTTATATTCAATTAACTTTTTTCTCTAACTGATGCCATATACTAAACGACCTCCAACTTACGTTGATACTTAGTGGAAATCTCGTCAATGACTGATTTGTTGGAATACGTAGTCAGTGACACCTATCTATAGTATAGTTAAAATAAAACAATTTTGATTCTCTCACTGCTTGGTCTCACGGATCAGTATTCAGCAATCAAGAAGCACGGTTCTTTTTTGAAATAACGAACACTGGCACCATGGATCGCCTAAACTGTTTTCAAAATACTGCATCAAGAGCCCATGGATCACTTTGTGTTTGCTTCCCATGTAACAACAGAAGACAACGGTCAGGCAACAGATCGTTTATTAAGGAAATCAACATATATCTGTATATTTTCATGTACATTATTATAGCTAATTCAAGCAAATAAACACAGCCTTCTGATTGGTTATTTCTCACAGAAAGTTAACCTTGCATCTCTTTGTGACTGTCTCTTAAATGTCAGATCATCTATATGTATCCACCTACGCAAAGTGTGCTGTGGTTGGTTGTTGAATCAGTCTTTGTTCATATTTTCTCACGACCAATATTTGGGACATAAGCATCGACGTAAATTAATGTCTACCAATTCGGCTAGCAGCCTGCTCTCACCACACCCACACTATCTGAGTAAAGCTAAGTTTTATTAGTGACATTGGCTTGGAGTCAGCTTATAACTACTGCCAAGTAGGACTATCGCTTTCATGTCACTGGTCAGTTATAACGATCAATCATTGTGAGCAGTGTTTACTCTTAAACACAATAAACTAAGGCAGGTTGTTGTACTGGCTATGCACTGAGGAGAATTGAGATATATTCGAAATCTGAGGAGAGATTGCAGGGTACGATTCGTTCAACATCAAATTTGCTTTCCTCGGCATAAAATCATTGTTTGACACAACATCCAGTCTGTTAGGGTGAAATGAGACATACTTTATGCACATAAGTTGCTGTCAAATGCCTCCACTTTTAGAACCTGATGTTACGCATAGATTAACAAGTTTAAATAAACAGATATTGAAGCATCCAATTTTCCTGAGGTGTTTCATGTGTGCTACTAACATTGATCTGTCAAAATTAGATAAACAATCGTCAATCACTCTTGTGTCTGCATCATGCAGGCACAATGTGCTTAAGTGTTTTTCACATGCTGAAAGTCAGTCAGTCAAGTGGTGATATTAAGACATATCACTGAGGATGCAGTTCTGAGAATGCATATAAAGCTAATTAAAACAGTCTACCGAAATTTACGAATCAGTAGGGAGGGCTTTACGGACACTTGCTTTCTGAAGTGAAAATAATAATTGGTGTACAATTGGTGGATGGTGGCTAGCAGTGGAATCCAGGATGCGCATTTCGTCCTATTTGGGACTCGCCAGATGGATGTACCTGCATTTCTCAGTGAGTGATGATGGGAACATCCTGGATTCCACTGCTAGCCACCATCCACCAATTGTACACCAATTAAATACCCAGACATAATCGAAGCATCTGCACAAGAAGCCGACATGTCAACCTGAGACCGAGCACTTCGGTCCAATCAATCGACGGGAAAATCAAAAATTCAATTCAATCAAAATAATAATGTTTACCACAGAAAACCAGTGTTGCTATCTTACTGAATTTTATTACAGATGCACGAGTGAATATAATCTTGTCTAACTTTGACTGATTAGGAAATGATCTACTACTACAAAGATGGCTGACTTACAATGCAATCTTTAAAGATGAAAGCGTTGGTAAAATGGATTATTTCTCTAGAAGAGAAAAAATCAACTTTTTGGAAGAAGTAATTCATCTTTCTTAAGCGGTGATATGTTGTCGCACTAAGTTCTCCACCACAGCTAACGAATAGAATGATGATATCAGCTGATTGCTTCAATTATTTTAGGAACTACATCAACCCTAATTCATTACTTTCTTCATACAATTTCTCTTGTTGATGAAGTTGAATGAGGCGAGAACAACGAAGTGGGAAGAATAAATAATATGGTAAAATACTGTTTTGTTGGACCGCCTACGACTTAAAATAAAACGGTTTCAACATCATCAAATGCAATATTTATCCATTTCAGTTATTGAGTATGATAGCGAGTAATAATCAGTAAATAAATAACATAATGGTAGGCATAATCCCAAGGATATTTTAGAGGTTAGGAAGAATATGGAATATGGTCAAAGCGTATGAAATTGCATTGGCTTAAAAAGAAATATGATTAAAATAACATAAAATAGAGGGGTAGAATTTAAGCACTGTGATAGAATATAATTCCGTTTTAGAAAGGCTTATTTGATAAAAGACATAGCGAAACAGTTATTAACTAGTGGAGCACAAGTGACTGATCATAATCTTATCGATGTATTCAAAGAAATATATGAATGACTATAACATCAATTTTATGACCGCTTTCAATCAGGTGGGGGGAGAAATCTCAAGTTTTTGGAATGTGCTAACTAGAACTTTTAAGGGTTTATTGGAGAAAAGCTGTAAGAGCTTGTGTACTGCTCATCCCCAATTTGTTTATGAGGGATTTTATTGTTTATTGTTCCATGAGTTTCAGGTGGGACATACATGTGACTTTAGAAACACATTTCCGTTCCACTGTATTCTGTAGCCATTTCCACCCGACTCCATGACTAACTGCACACAAGCTTTCATTTCCTCCCAACATAGTCTCTTGTATGACACCCTCAAACCCCGACCAAATCCATCGCTCCTGTTCAGGTTCGACTCGAGCACTTGGTGTGTGACGTCGCTCAACAGTTTCCTCATCAAGTGTACGAGACATTCCCTCCTATATATTTATTAGCTAACAAGTTCTTTATTGGTTCATTGTCGGATGATTTCCTTATCGCATGTTATTTCTGGCCGATTATTTGTTCTTCAGCATTGAGCAAAGGTATCAGCTGATAAAATTCTACTACCTGTTGGAAATGGTTTTTATGACACTTCAAGCCTCTGAGCAATATGGAACTGGTGACTGAAGCTTTTCTGATTCTAGCGGCGCATCAGTTTATTTCTTCTGTACTTTCAAGCGTGAGTAGCGATGTAGTTATTGTTTGTCGGGCTTAAGAGAGAATTTTCGGAGATACTGTCAAGGAACTTAACCCGAAGTTCCTATTATTTGCGAAGACGCTTCGAATCGATAACTACTAAGATCGATTATCGACTTCAACTCCAAAACACCAATACTTGTATTGTTGTTCGACAATTAAAATTGAAATTGATACATAAGTTTTTATTAGTATTCTTTCATCTTTTCGATCGAAGCATTTGTGCCTTCAAGTTGCCCGCCAGTGGTGACCAAGGCCAATGAACCAACGTTCACGTTCCTTTACAGATACGACAAGATGATTTCAACAAACAAAGACATAAATATGGATAAAAATGATGCTGACCAAATTAATTATTGTGCGCAGTTAGAAATACTATCTCACTACAGAGAAAATAGTGCTTGTGCTATTGTTTGATCCTGAAATAGTAAAAATAGAATCCTAATTGGATAAATCACAAATATAACTAAATTCTGAGTGTAGTTTCGATCGAATTTCATCGACCTTACAAAAATAGAAAAAAAAGGACAGGAGTTTTACTAAAATAAAGTCAGTTACCTTCAGGATTATTTAAGACCGTGGGAATACGTTTATATGCACAAACTAATTATTTTTACAAGTAAAGCAATATTTTCAGTGGATATTTCGAAGCATAGACAATTAATTAAAACAATCAGTCCCTTTGATAAATTTGAATAAGGCATTAAGAAGACATGGAGTGGACAATATCTTCATTTTACCAGTTTTGTTCCTATCCAGTATAAACGTTTGTTCTCTAGGGCTCGAAAAATATGCACTAATGACACATTGATGGATAAAGTTTCGACATACATTCAGTTTTATTAGTTAATGGTTATCCGGAAAACTTTATCACTTATCACAGTAAAGAAAGACCACATCTCGAAAAGACAGCTTCTGTACCAAAGAAAGCTATCTTTATTAACCTACCATTCAAGGGTGACCAGATTATGCAGTTGACAGCTCAAAGACTTCGGTCAGCTATCAAACACACATTCTACGCCACATCTCTTTTTCTCATTTGCCGAACATTTTCGATCCCTGTATCTACGATTAAAGGACGAAATTCTGTGGACTCTACTTCAAACTGTATCGACAAGTTCACCTGCAGCTTCGGTGAACCAACAGAATGTTCTAATGTCGTCGAAAAGAACATGTTCCGAAATAGCCACTAAATCATATAGAAAATCCCAACGCAATTAATCTGAATAGAAATCTAGCATCATCCATTGCAAAACACTTATTAATGTCAGGTCACAAAATCAGCATTAATGACTGTTTCACAGTTATTTCACATAACTCTAATTCAAGGTCGGCTATTGAAGGTGATGGAAGCACTTTGGATTGATCACACGCAGCCTAAACTGTGTGTACAAAAAACAATAGACTTCAATCTTCGTCTACCATGGACTACATGAGCTATTTAAATATGATTGGTCCCAATGGAACATAAGGCTTCAAGCTAGTGGCTTGAGGTTTCTGTAGTAGTGTTTAATTTTACAGGGTGGGGTTGCTAGCCTCATGCCCAACCTTTCCTCTTTACCAGAATTATTTCTGGCTTAGCGAGGTAAAGGAGTGAGTCAACCGAGGATCAAACCCCGGACCATGTGCATGGTCCTAACAGCTGTGCCACCGACGCACTTTATTAGTATGTACTTTTGTTTTTCCTTTAACCGAGTAATTGCCATGAACTTTATTTTATTTATTATTGTTAACCATGTTAGTTGTAAAGAAACTACGAAATGATATCATCTCGCGAAATTTGTCTTCTGAATGCCTTATTCAAATAGACAATAAAATTAGTTTGAAATTAATATTATATTTGCCTTCTATGTTAGGGGTTTATATCACATTTTGTAGGGGAATAAATAAATTTAAAACTAGTAGTGTTCAGTGTTTAGGTTGTGTGAAACATAAATGCTACAGTAACATAACTAAACGGCAAACCCTGTTGATATAAGGATAATTTAGATTAGCATCGAAGGGTTGGAAAAGATTGAATGTTACGCTTACTAATGATACAGAAGGGTATTGATCGCTAGTCCTTAAGTTTACTCTAAAGCCTTTCAAAGTTTGAGGTAGTTCTGTTCTTCCGCTTAGGCTTAAGCTGTTCTTTAAAAAAAAACAATCTGTACACCGATGGAGAATGCTTCGAGGATAGGCAACACCAGGCAACTCTTTAGACTCATCAGGGAAACGGGTGGGAGAAGACAAATCATCAGTGAGACAATCTCGGAAAAAAATGGCACTATAATTAGCTCACAGGATAGACGACTGGATCGTTGGAAAGAGCATTATGAGGAGCAGTTTAATTTGCCCACAGCCACGCTCAACCTTCCGAGCATCCAACACCTCCCTGAATGGGATATAGACACAGGTCCTCCGTCACTAACTGAGGTTACTAAAGCTGTCACCAATCTGAAACTAGGCAAAGCAGCGGGACCTGATGGAATGACGCCAGAGGTATTTAAGTACGGTGGAGACAGCTTACTGTCCGGATTAACTGAGGTACTAGGCAGCGTCTGGGAATCAGAAGAAGTCCCATCGGGTTGGTGTAAGTCACTGATTATCCCCATATACAAGAAGGGAGACAAGTCTTCCTGTGATAATCACAGAGGGATTAGCTTGACTAATATAGTATCTAAAGTCTTAGGCTCAATAATCATGCGTAGACTGAGTGGTGCTCGGGAAGCACAAACACGAGAGAGCCAGGCAGGCTTTAGACCAGGAAGAGGGTGTATTGATCATATCTTCACCCTCCGACAGATTCTAGAACATAGGCATTCCTACCGGCGTCCAACAGTCATTATATTTCTTGACCTAAAGGCAGCATTCGACTCTGTCGATCGGGAAGTTCTCTGGAGATGCTTGGCTGTAAAGGGAATTCCAAGAAAATATATTGCACTGATTAAGGCACTCTACTCGTACTCATACAGCCAGGTGAGGGCTTACGGCGAGCTGTCATCTGAACTGATGACGACCAGTGGTGTCCGTCAAGGATGCCCATTATCTCCTTTTCTATTCAACTTCATCATAGATGTGTTAATGGACTTAACCCTAGGTGACTTCAGCGATTCAGGGATTGACTTGCTACCGGGGAATAATCTCGTTGACTTGGAATATGCAGACGATATAGTCCTTCTAGGCGAAGACGCTGACGAAATGCAGAGTCTTCTAAACACCTTGAGCCGCAATCTACGAATGTTTGGCATGCGATTCGCTCCCGCCAAATGCAAGATGATGTTACAGGACTGGACTACATCGACGCCTAGTTTAAAAATAGGAAGTGAAGTGGTAGAGCACGTTGACCGCTTCACTTATTTGGGAAGTACCATCAGCCCCAACGGGCTGATCTCTGACGAAATCTCAGCACGAATACAAGGGGCTCGTTTCGCATTTGTTAGTTTACGCCGACTCTGGCGTAGACGAGATGTTCGACTATCGACCAAAGGGCGGGTGTACTGCTCATCAGTCCGCTCCGTCCTCCTTTATGGTTGTGAGACCTGGCCACTGAGAGTGGAAGACATGAAAAGACTAGCTGTCTTTGATCATAGGTGCCTGCGTTCTATTTCCCGTGTAAAGTGGCATAATAAGGTGAGCAACATGGAGGTTAGGCGTAGAGTTCTAGGTAAACAGGGGAAATCAATCGACGAAGTCGTGAAGCTACAAAGACTGAGATGGTTAGGACATGTGTTACGTATGCCAAGCCATCGCCTCCCTCGACGAGCTATGTTAGCGGATATAGGGTCAGGCTGGAAAAAAGCTAGCGGCGGTCAAACAAAAACTTGGCATCAGTCAATGAAATCCACAACAGTTGGTCTAAGCCACGTAGGAAGGTGTAGACTTCCAGGCTGGGGTCCTCGGGACGGTAAAAATCTATGGTTGGAAACAATTGGTGACATGGCTCAAAATCGTTCTCAGTGGCGCAGATGCATCCACTCCCTGTGACTTATGATCTTCAATGAAACTGTTTTGTATTTCTTTATTACTCCTTTGTCTCACACCTCTGCTCACTGTTTCTATTATGCTTTTCTTGTACTTTCTTCTCTTGCTTCGCGTGCTACACGGAATGTGGCGACTTGAACTTCCGCACATTTGTGCAAAGTTCTATGTCGAAAACAGACAGACACCGATTTATATGTTCACATATTTACGTTACTGAAAAGTAGGTAGTAAGTGATCTGTGTGAATACATGTATTGGAAGATTTGGATTCCTGATACTACATACTAGTAGCATTATTACACATTCACTTAAGCTCATTATCCTTATAGTACGGTACAATGATGTGGAGCTTCTCAGTAACTTAAGTATAAATGAGGTATTGAATGATAAAAACCCATTAAACTACATCATTCTAGATTTATCATATATTATATAAACAATGGGATAAAATAACTGAATACGCTAAACTCGGTGGATCCAAGAAAAAAACAAATGACGGACACTTTTGTAAACATTAAAATTCTTTAAAAAACATCTTCTTGCTGAATAAATGTTACATAATTCACTGGTCATATATATATATATATATATATATATATATATGGGAGCTTCCAGTGGACAGGTCTATCATATATAAAGACGCATAAAAGTGATACCAATTATGCCTTAAAACTTCTTCAGAATAAGACCTTGAATCTTTTTTCAACTACTCCATCTCTTTAACAATCAACTCTGTAGTAAAAGTACACAACTAGTGAATAGATTTAAAGATTTCATTTATTTTAAAAATACAACGAGGAAAGACAAAAAAAGAAGGCAAAGAAGAAGAGTAGAGAAACAGTACATAATCAATTAGTGTCATGAGATAAGAGACAACAACAATGAAAAAAAAAGAAAGGCAGTGACATTTAACTGTTTAAAAGTACCATCTCACAGGATTAGAGGAGAATAAATTGATGGTGATCATCATCATCATCATCGATTGTGGCTTTCATCCGAGATCGCCCCGTGTGCCCCAATGTGTGTGTGTGCACAAAAGTAAAATATTCCATATTCTCTGTTCGCAATAAAATGTGACAAGATAATACAATACATCTCTATGAAGAAATACAGGATTGTAGTGACAGAGGATAGTTAGTTGTTGTTCACATTTTGGGGGAATGTATTGAGGAAAACATTTCGCTTCATAAAATACATGAATACCGTGAATGAATATATACCGAAGCAGAAAGAGATAAAAACATGGGAAGGGGGGGAAGGAGAATTTTGATTGAATAAAAGAATCGCACAGCCATTCAAAGAAGAAAGTGATCACATTATAAAAGAACAGAAGGACAGAAAACAAAATGGCTTCAAAGCCTATTTATAACATACTTTTATTTTCCTCCTTCAATACACTAGAATGAGGAGCTAAAAACAAGAATTGATATGTATTTTAAGATAACCAAGCGAAAGAACTTCGAGTAAGTCATACATCAAGATATTTGAGTCAGGTATGAACAAGAAAAAATAATAATTTGACTGTTTACGAATAATATAACCACCTTAGGCATATATATATATATATATATATATATATATATATATATATATCCTATAGAAAATCCACCAGACATATCAACCTTATCATAGCTGTAATATTTGAAAAAGGCACAGGAGTTACAACATCACATAAAGATACTTGTGTTTCAATGATATCGGAGAAAATAAAATTAATGCACACTTTCACAAGTTCCAGTAAAACAGACAGATATACTACGAATAGTACAGAAGAGTACTAATCAATCCATTATTAAGTATGGAATGTAATCAACAACTGTATACATAACATATTAAGTAGTATTGTGTACTATGAAGAACTTTCAGTCGTTTTTATGCCTCCACCCAAAGGCATGAAGAATGTTCCACAACGGAGTAGGAATATACGCATTAAAGCAGCAACTTGAGGTGATATTCCACCAGCCATTGCAACTAAATCACACAGACCAGGATATAAGCATGCCGCATGCTTATGAAATCTGGATGAAGGTGACAGTTTATTTAGTTGAGTAATAATTAACACTAAACAGGGATCCCATGCATGCCGATGTCCATCAATAATTAAACCATGATAGTAGTGAAAAGCCTCCAATATGACCTGATCCAGCAATTCATCAGCCTGTGTTAAAAGGAGAACCAAAAAAATGATTAGCAGGTTCAACACAAGATATTTTAAAATTAGCATTACAAAATAAATGACAAGAATGACGAAGTGTGGTGCTTCTTTTTTTGACAATGACAGATTCTAGAACACAGGCATTCCTACCGGGGTCCAACAATCATTATATTTCTTGACCTAAAGGCGTCATTCGATTCTGTCGACCGAGAGGTCCTCTGGAGATGCTTGGCTGTAAAGAGAATTCCGAGAAAATACATTGCACTGAATAAGGAAATCAACTCGGACTAATGCAGCTAGTTAGGTGAGAGCTTATGGATAGTTGTCATCTGAAGTGGTGACAACTAGTGGTGTCCGTCAGGGATTCCCACTGTCCCCGTTTCTATTCAATTTCATCATAGGTGTACTAATGGATTTAACATTAACTCACTTCAGAGACTCAGGGATTGACTTGTTACCACGGAATAATCTCGTCGACTTAGAATATGTAGACGATATGGTCCTTCCGGGCGAGGACGCTGGCAAAATGCAGAGTCCTCTGAACACCTTGAGCTGCAATCTACGTATGTTTGCGTGCGATTCGCCCCCGCCAAATGCAAGATGATGTTACAGGACTGGACTACACTGTCTTCTAGTTTAGAAATAGGAAGTGAAGTGGTAGAGCATGTTGATCGCCTCCCTTATTTGGGAAGTACCATCAGTCAGTGACAACGGGTTGATTTCTGACGAAATCTCAGCACGGATACAGTGGGCTAGTTTCGCCGTCTCTGGCCAGACGTGATATCCGGTTGGCTATTGACCAAAGGTTGTGTGTACCGCTCATCAGTCCGCTCCGTCCTCCTCTACGTCTGTGAGACCTGGCCATTCAGAGTGGAAGACATGCAAAGGCTGGCTAGCTGTCTTTGATCATAGCTTCCTGCGTTCTATCTCCCGTGTGAAGTCGTATAATAAGGTGAGCAATATTGAGGTTAAGCTTTGGTCGAGTTCTAGGTAAACAGGGGAGATCAATCGACGAGGCTGTGAAGCTACATCGACTGAGATGGTTAGGACACGTGTTATGCATGCCTAGTCATCGTCTTCCTCGACGGGCAATGTTAGCTGACATAGGATGGGTTAGGCTGGGAAAGAGCTGGTGGTGGTCAAACCAAAACATGTCACCAGTCAATGAAATCTACAACAGTTAGTCTAAGCCACGTAGGAAGGTGTAGACTTCCCGGTTGGGGTCCTCGGGACGGTAAAAACCAATGAAGGCTGGAGACAATTGGTGATATGGCTCAAAATCCTCGTTGTTAATGGCTGGAGCAGATGCATCCACTCCTTGTGACTTATGATTTCCGATGAAACTGTTTTGTTCTCCGTTATTACTATTCCTTTGACTCATATCCCTGTCTGCTGTCTCTATTTTGCATTTCTTCTACTTTCTTCTGTTGCTTTGTGTGATACATGGAGTGTGGCGACCTGAACTGCTGAACATCGGTGCAAAGTTCTACGCCGAAAACAGACAGACACTGACATATACTGGTTCTGTTTATGAACAAGAAAGAATAAAAGACTGAGCACTGAAACAATAACAATCTGAAATATAATAGGTGACTTTATAAAATAAAATACGTTTGCTTCATAAGATTTATCAGTTCTTTCTAAGATTAAAATAATATTTGAATAACATTCGACATTTAAGACTTATTTATTAATGTCTCTACACGACTCCATTTTTAGAACACATTCTCATCGCTTATTTTAATCTTCGTGAGTTATCCTACAAAATGGGTTAGATTAGTAGGACATAGTGTTAAACCACTTAAACAAATAGGATTGTAAGTGAACTAGAATTCAGACATATGCTGAAGTATTTAAACAGACTATCAACATGTCTATACCATTAGCCTTCAAGTGTTATTCCAATCAGAGAAAACTGATGTTTTCTCCTCATATTCAGATCATTTTACCATTTGCAGTCTAATATTCCTGTGATTTCAGTAGCTAACCGGTGTTTATTGAATCGATCTAATATGGACACTCAAGATCAGTACGAAATTTCCAGTATGGTATAATAACTCATCAAATAACCAACATACATAAACAGCGACTGTGTTCTTTGGTAGGTAGAGATGACTTCAAAATAATATAATGCTGAGAGTCTACAACTAGGCGTACGTAAATAAAGGTTACTACTCATGACTGTCATGTCAGTCAGGTAACGAGGCGAGTAAATCGACTTTAAATCTGCGAAGCTGTATTGGTCAACTATCGAAGTGAATTTTATACACTTCATAAAACAGATGAGTAGTTAGAAAACAATAAAAGTATTCTCTCTGATGAATTCCTCTCCCAACTCTGCAATTATGTGTCCTGCATTTACAGAAGAAGCCTACTGTAGCAAACTGTGGACAATATATGTACAATGAAATGAAATCACCTAAAAAACAGATAACTTCCAAATACTACTGTTAGTTTTCAACACTTCAATACAATACTTATAAACTAAATTTTGCGGGAACAAATCAGAAAGATGATAATAAAATAATCATTTTGGATTATTTGTTTTTAAATTAATGCACAATTAATTCAAATCACCTTCGAGGGGTCGAAGCACCTCGGTAGAATGCTCGCTAATTACGCATGTAGCTCGGGGTTCGATCCCCAGCTGACTCACTCCTTTACCTCGTTAAGCTAGCAATAAGACTGGTAAAGAGAGATGATTGGGCATGAAGCTATCAACCGCATCCCGTAAAAATAAACACCGCTGCTAGCGGAACTTCAAAGCTCTAGCTTTAAGCCCTATGTTCCACTGGGAACACAAAGGAACAAAATAAATAATAAAAATAATAATGATAAAACAAACTTTTCTTTAACAACAAAGATTTAAACAAAATAGACATACCTCTTCTTGAATATTACTCGGTTCTTCAGCCAAACGAAATAGAATACGCAGAGTACAAAGTAGGCTATGTGTTTCTTGCTTTAACAAATTTGGTTTAGCCTTAACCTTAAATCCTGAATGAAAAAATATACAAAAATCCATGTACAGGAAATCATTATCACAGGTCAATAAATTCCAGAGACAAGATTGAATAGGTGGGGTTAACACAGTTAAATTAACCTGTTTATCTAATACTGATGGTTGACGGGTAGTAAAAGAATAACACGTACACTGTCTGTCTGGATTCAACATAGAACTTGGCACAGAAGTGCAGCAGTTCCAGTTGCCACGTTCCAAATAGCACACAGAGGTAGACAAGAAGATGAGTAAAGAGAATCAATACAGTCTGACAAGTATAAGAGTGAAACAGAATGGGTAATGGTAGAAAGGAATATGAAAGATTACAGAGACTGAATACATCTGCGCCATTGACAACGATTTTGAGCCATGTCACCTATTGTCTCCAGCCATTGATTCCTAGAGTCCCGAGGGCCCCAACCCGGAAGTCTGCATCTCCCTACCTGACTCAGTTTAACTGTCAAGGATTTCATGGATTGATGCCATGTTTTTGTTTGGCCACCACTGGCTCTTTTCCAACCTTCACCTATATCAGCTAGCAAAGCCCGTCGGGGGAGGCGGTGGTTAGGCATGCGCACCACGTGACCTAGCCATCTTAGTCTATGTAACTTTATAGCCTCGTCGATTGATTTTCCCTCTTTGCCCAACACTCTACGCCTAACGTCAACATTACTTATCTTGTGAAACCACCTAACGTGAGAAAGAGATCGCAGACATCTATGATCGAAAGCAGTCAACCTTTTCATGTCTTCAACGCGTATTGGCCACGTTTCACAGTCATAGAGAAGGACGGAGCGAACTACTGAGCAGTACACACGTCCCTTGGTTGATAGCCGAATGTCACGCCTACGCCAGAGGTGGTGTAAGTCAGCGAAAGCAGCTCGAGCTTTCCGGATCCGTGCTGAGATTTCATCGCCAATCAGTCCGTTGGTGCTAATACAACTTCCCAAATAGGTGAAGTGGTCAACATGTTCTATCACTTCACTCCCTATCACTAAGTTAGGAGTTGACGTGGTCCAGTCCTGTAGCAGCATCTTACATTTTGCAGGGGCGAATCGCATGCCAAACATACGAAGATTGCTGCTCAAGGTGTTCAGAAGACTCTGCATTTTGTCAGCATCCTCCCCTAACAGGACTATGTCATCTGCATATTCTAAGTCCATAAGATTATTCCCTGGTAACAAGTCGATTCCTAAGTCATTACGTTCAGTTAAGGATACTTCCATCAGCATATCTATGATGAAGTTAAACAGAAATGGGGAAAGTGGACATCCCTGTCGGACACCACTGGTTGTTACCAATTCAGATGACAGTTCCCCATAAGCCCTTACACGACTACGTGAGTTTGAATAGAGTGCCTTGATTAGTGCAATGTACTTTCTTGGCACTCCCTTCACAGTCAGACATTGCCATAGTACCTTTCGATCCACGGAGTCAAAGGCCGCCTTCAAGTCAAGAAATATGACAATTGTTGGACGCCGAAAAGTTTGTCTGTGTTCTAGAATCTGTCGGAGAGTGAAGATATGATCTATGCACCCTCTACCTGGTCTAAAGCCTGCTTGATTTTCCCTTGTCTGTTCCTCCCGAGTTCTGCTTAGTCTATGCATGATTACTGAGCCTAGGATTTTAGAGACTATGTTCGTTAGGCTGATCCCCCTATGATTATCACACGAGGACTTGTTTCCCTTCTTGAATATCGGTATAATAAGTGACTTACCCCAGTCTGATGGTACTGTCTCTGATTCCCAGACTTTGTCTAGTACACGTACACTAGAAACCAATTGTATGAAACAGTACCCAAGTCATATCTATACACGTATGTGTATGAACAACAGAATCCCCATCACATTCAGCACATAAAGTGGTATACAAGGTTGGGTAGGATGTTTAAAGCAAACTTGTACTTCACACATTTCATAAGTTATTAATGAGTGATCAGCTGAATCGACAATGGCGTTAACGAAGTAAATATTAGCTCGAAAAACGACTGTGAATTGGTTCGAAGCCTTAGAAACTACAACTAAGTGCCTGTCTAGTGTGATCCTACTTTTGCAGCTATGCTTTAACCAGATACAATGATATAAAGCAAATGGAAAGTTTTATTTTGAAATTTGTGGATTGATGACCACAGCTGGTATATCGCTCGTTTCTTTCCCTTCACTATGACTGAGTTTCAACATAGAACTCTGTATAGAAGTGCAGCAGTTGAAGTTGCTACACTCCATGTATTACACAAAGGTAGAGGAAATAGAGCTACAGTTCAGAAGAATTATAACGTAGAGATGTGGAAAAACTTGAGGATCTAATGTATATAAGAGATCACAAAAAGTGAATGCATAAGCGTCACTGAGAACGCTTTCAAGCCACGCCGCCAACGGTCTTAAACTATTGGTTCTTAACATCTTTTTATTACACAAAATTATAAACTGATGAATAGTATTTGCCTTATTTGTTCGTATAATTAAAAAAATTGTTATCCTGTATATTGTCTACCTTTCCCACACTTATCACTTTTACTAGCTATATGCTATCTGTTCCTCATATTCTACGAGTTATTTAACCCTATTAGTCTAAATCCACTCTTGTATTTCTGACCATTTATGTTGCCGATTGTTCCTGCTTCATTTATTGACTTACGTGTAAATGAATTTCTATTATTTGATCAATTTGTTTGTGAAAAGCATGAGTACATGTTCCAATGAAATTTTCAGTTCTATTCACTTCCCTTAATTAGCAGCTGACTCATGCTGGGATTCCCTTTTTTCACAAGCAATACACTGAGTGCAAAAATAAGCAGTTGCTTGAGAATTAGACAAATAAATTCATCTACTGCATAATGGGTTTATAAAACTAATTGTGTGACTGAACTCTCAAATATAATAAGACAAGATGTTGGAGATTGATCAACTGAGAATGAGAATTGACTTCACAGACTTATGAGCCACGCAACTGAAGAGTTAAAGTTCTACACTTTACATTCTATAAGTGATATATATATATATATATATATATATTATATATATTATATATATATACATGATTTTCTGTAATAGGATTCTTGTATTTAACTTTTGTAGCCTGCTGCGCCGGGACCATTCTTAACCCCACTTTTAATTACAAAAGTGGACTTACACATAACTGTGTTCCCAAAGTGCAGATTTGTAGATCAAAAGTATGGTCGTTTCACCTAAATTAACTATTTCTGGCTATTTGAGTGCAAATGATCCTGTTAACAGAGAATATACCTGTAACTGTTCGATCAGTTAGCAAAATGAAATAACTTTGAATATTCATCTTAAACCTTATTTTTTTCCTTCACGTTCTAAGTGGAACATAGTGCTTCAAGCTAGTGGCTTGAGGTTTCTGTAGCAGTGTTTAGTTTTTACAGGATAAGGTTGCTAGCCTCATGCCCAACCTTTCCTCTTTACCAGAATTATTTCTGGCTTAGCGAGGTAAAGGAGTGCGTCGGTGACCGGGGAATCGAACCCCGGACCATATGCATGGTCGGCGAGCGTCCTAACCGCTATAACACCGACGCCTTAAACATTATTGGCAAAATATAATAATATTTAGAAAAAAAACACCTTGGAAGAAAAACTAACCAGCCTGAAATAGAATATTTCTCTGTTCGTCATGTGAATTGAATTGTTTAGCGAATGCATGAGATTCCAGTAAACATTTTGCCAAGATGAGACGCTGGTGTGGGGAGAGATGTGGATACATACCACGAGAATCAAATGGTAATGGACTAGCTCCCACTAGCGGAGCTGTATTACCCTGTTCTGCTTCATAATTGCATTGATCGGTGACTTCATTTTCCGCTAAGTTGAGGGATTTTCAGAGGAACTTGTAATATCTACGGGAGGAAAGATAATTCAATCGTGTAGTATATATATATATATATATATATATATATATATATATATATATATATATATATATATAATATATAAATGAGAAAAAAGGGTCCTGTTGGAAAGATAGATAAACAAAACAGTTCCAATACCTTTGATTTTATTTGTCAAGAAATAAGACGGCGAGTAAACTTTAAAAATTCACTACCATCTAAAGAAGAAATCTTTATTTCTCTTTTCAGTTGAATTATAATATGGCAGTCAACCTCATGAATATCATCAGTCTGAGTAACCTACTAGGATTACCAAAAACCACTACTACTTGGGTGAATGAGAGTTGAAACTCAACAAGGTGAATTAATATTTTATCGTTCATGTCTCGAGTAAGTTGGCAGATGATGACTCATCCAATTGGTGTAAGATCCTAAATGTTATTTGATGCATAGAAAGTGATTACTTTTTGATGTGATTGTGTTCTCTGAGCTGGATAGTCAATTTGCGAAGCTTTCATCGCCCTACTAGGCGACATCTTCAACTCATACTTCAATTTGAAGTGAGCTTTTAGATTTCTCCACGAGTTTATTAATCATCTCTCCTGGTGACCTTGGACGTAATTGGTTGTTTTTGTGTTTTCACACCTTCTAGGTTACTAGTATTGGAACTGATTGTTTCTTTGGCTTGAACTTTGACCTGGGACAATGTTCCAATATTAGGCAGAGGAAACAACAAGAATGCTAGAGAATTTTTAGAAGCTTGGCATTCCAGTGAATCATCAATCAATAGACACATCGAGATAGACAAAATGTATCAACCGATAAGAAAGAAACCTCAAACACAAAAAGGGGAAAGTTCAGGTCAAAGAAACAATCAGTTCCAATAAAAGTAACCTAGAAGGTGTGAAAACACAAAAACGACCAATCACGTCCAAGGTCACCAGGAGAGATGATTAATAAACTCGTGGAGAAATCTAAAAGCTCACTTCAAATTGAAGTATGAGTTGAAGATGTCGCCTAGTAGGGCGATGAAAGCTTCGCAAATTGACTATCCAGCTCAGAGAACACAACCACATCCATCATCCACCTGAGCTACAAATCTTCTCCATCATATCTAAAGTGATTACTAGGCTAAAAGACAATGACAATGTGGCACACTCCTACTTCACATTCGATATCAGGATTTCGATCGACACTAAGCTCTAAATAAAGGGCTTGTGCTTGTCAATACTTAATATTAAGGGTTAACCGTGACCTCAAAAATATTCATGTTCTCACTAGGATCTACACCAATATCAGTTAATGGAGATTTACAAAATTCTATTAACTAATCTTTAACTTTTGATAATATTAGATGGTTGGAGTCAGTCGGCAGGAACCCTTGGACCTAGGTTTCGTGCTAGTTGGCACTCGTCAGCAAGGTGTATCTGCATCCTTGAAGGAACTCATGTCCCTTCTGAGATTCGAACCCGCGTCACCCAGTGCTGCAGTCAGAGACGTTATCACTGAGCTATTCGGGCTCGCGATTGACCTCCTGTAGGACTGTAGTGGATATTCTTGATTTGACACTAGTAACTAGTGTGATGCGTCTAGTCCTCTGATTGGTGTAGACTGAATTCTATCAGTCAAGTTGTAATGTGACCACCATCTTGACTGATAGAATTCAGTCTACACCAATCAGAGGACTAGACGCATCATACTAGTTACTAGTGTCAAATCAAAATCTCTAACTTTTTTTCTTCTTTCTGAAACAGGTAACGCTTTAGACCTATTTGTCAGATAAGTGGTATCACTAAAAAAATCCGCTGAAGAAGTAAACTAGTTGATACTGTACAAATACAATACAACACTATCATCTCTCTCACAACAAAATTGGAAGTTTATGCGAAACTTATGCAATAACAATAAGTACATACTCATATCATCTTTATTTAAGCTCTTATTTGAACCAGAATCATGATTTATGATATCAACTGATATTTTACTGCCAGTTGTATTGTTGTCTTTGGTAAGAAATGATGATGATGATGATGATGTTGAAAACAATGGTTGATTTGTTGTTGATGTAGCTACTTGTAAAGCAGCTTCAAATGCTGGATAAGATGCAGCGGCTAATCGACGTGCTTCATGCAAATAATGAATATCTTCATTTCGACTATGCGCTGAATAAAATAAAATATGATCCACTGTTTGTATTAATTCATATTGTACTACACATTTATTTAATAAGTCGGCAAATAAGTGTGCTCTAGCAATATGACCAGGCAAACGTTGTTGATTTCCATTCATATATGAGGTTATACTTTGATCATTAATTTCAAGTGGCATTTGTTCCTGTTCAAAGTACAGAACAAAAAATATAGAGGAGTGTTGTTATAATAATGATTATCCATCGATATAACTTTCAAAATTAACGCGTGTTTGATTAGCCAGAAACTTTCGCTATGTGTCGAAAGCAACTGAAACATTTTTGTAAAGCAAGCGACAATGGACACTTGTACTGTTTTAATTTATTTATTTAGGCAATAGGATGAACAACAAGTTACTCCTCAAACATTGCATGGATTACTTTCTACAATTTAACAGCGTGTGATATGGAGCAACTGTTCTTAGGTGTCATCATAATGGAAACTATAGTTGAAATCTTAAGCCAAGGAGAGTGTAAACGTTTTCAATGACCTCCAACGTATGCTACTCGTTGGATAACGGAACTTACCATTATAATGATGCTAATGTGAACACCATTCACGAATTAAGGTGTAAACTTCACCGCCCCTCCTCCCATCACGTTTTAAGTACTGTTTGGACAATGCGTTAATAGCTCATTAGGGTTAGGATCAAGGTTAAGATAAGGGTTATAATGAGGTTTAAGGCTAGAGTTAGGATTAGAGTTAGGTTTGGGATTGGTATTATTTATTTTAATTGGTTTTATTATCCACATTTCTTTAATAAGTATTCATAGGTCCTCTTACTGAAAACTATAGTAATTCAATCGACGGTTTTTGGAGATAAGACCGACAAAGGAGTCACACAAAAAAGCCCATCAGAAACTTGTCTACCTTAAAAGCTAATACTCATTATAATTGGGAGCTATTTTTTAAATCATGTCAGAGAAAAATACCCTGTTTAGTGTCTTTTATCATTATGTTCTATACTTCTTTTGTAAATAAACGTCAATTTTAAGCAGAAACTTCTGTATTTCCTGATTGGTCGGCTTAGGGTTACTCGTGTGTTCGTATCCTATGGATCGTGACATTTTAAATTTGACGAATTTTAACAGTGGGAAGGAGGGGGCGGTTGATTGTGTATGTCAGAAGTGACTCAAATTAAGAAGGCAACAATTATCTATTCTATTTATCTAGCTTGATTTACTACGTTTCAAAAACTATTGAGAAATAAATCCGCTTCCTTTAAAATACTCATGAATGACTTACACTTTATGTTAGAAACTTCTTACATACAACTGACTTGAAGGTAATATCATTATTCAAATTGCTTGTTGATTAAACACTCTTTTAGAAGGATAACTTAATACTTTACATGTATGTTACTAAATATATTCGAAAGTAGGTACACATTCAATTCAAGGCATCAATATATGTATTCATTCTATGTTACTAATAGTATGTTGGATAATTTTTAAACCTTATACTTTTAATTACTACTTTTATATATCTACCTTATTTATTATAGTACATGTGCACTTTAATTAAGTTTCAATAAACCTAAAAGATTAATTTCTGATGATTTCCTTTCCACTCTACGGTGCATTATATGGTAGGTCTAACAGATGGACAAAATATTGCATGCTGTCCCATTCGTTCATTTATTTCATTTAGTAAATTACAACTAACGAAGGTCAATTTCTAATCATTGTAAGGCATGAAAACTACGTCATACGTTGATGACAATAATCAGTGAATATCGGCGGACTTCAAATCGCTAGTAATGAAGATTAGTTTATACTGTATGCACAGAAATGTTCATCTGATTTCATATAGTTACAGTTGAACCAATAATGTACCAAAATACTGAAGCATACGTTACTTCATATACTTGTCTATTCAAATTTGTCGCATCAAGTGTTTAATGTAACCAATAATTTAGAAGACTATGAAACTATGAACCAGTGTATTTAGCTTTGGATATTAGAATTTTCTACATGGGGAAAATATCGAAACAGGGCGTCTAAATGTGAATTAAAATGAAATCATAGTGATAAAGACGAAAGACTTGGAAATTGGTATCCCTATATGTAGCCAAATTATGTATACGCCTTATCTTCGACGCACTATTTGCACAAATCTTGGTGTTGTGGTACTTCTAGCCTTTTTTCATATTGTGTTTCTTTTTCGCTGAGAATTAAGTTGATTTCTTCTGTTTAGCTCATTGCATTATTACTACACAAGAGCCGTTGTCTGGCTGAAAAATAATAAAAAATTCATCGTTAGTTTTCTTAAGATATTCGACTATCGACCAAAGGGCGGGTGTACCGCTCATCAGTCCGCTCCGTCCTCCTCTACGGCTGTGAGACTTGGCCATTCAGAGTGGAAGACATGCAAAGGCTGGCTAGCTGTCTTTGATCATAGCTTCCTGCGTTCCATCTCCCGTGTAAAGTCGTATAATAAGATGAGCAATATTGAGGTTAGGCTTTGGTCGAGTTCTAGGTAAACAGGGGAGATCAATCGACGAGGCTGTGAAGCTACATCGACTGAGATGGTTAGGACACGTGTTATGCATGCCTAGTCATCGTCTTCCTCGACGGGCAATGTTAGCTGACATAGGATGGGTTAGGCTGGGAAAGAGCTGGTGGAGGTCAAACCAAAACATGTCACCAATCAATGAAATCTACAACAGTTAGTCTAAGTCACGTGGGAAGGTGTAGATCTCATGGTTGAGGTCCTTGAGACGGTAAAAACCAATGGTTGGAAACAATTGGTGACATGGCTCAAAATCGTTCTCAATGGCTGGAGCAGATGCATCCACTCCTTGTGACTTATGATTTCCGATGAAACTGTTTTGTTCTTCTTTATTACTATTACTACTATTCCTTTGTCTCACTCCTCTTCTACTTTCTTCTGTTGCTTTGTGTACTATATGGAGTGTGGCTACTTGAACTGCCGCATATCGGTGCAAAGTTCTATGTCGAAAACACACAGACAAACAGTTTCTTTGTGTTCTCCCTGCTATTTGATGTTTTCTTATGCCGATGTGCGTCTCTTTATAAACTCCTGATAAATCTTATCAGTAGCACACACCACAATGGTAGCATATTAAAAGAAAAAAAAAGTTATTAAAGTTTTTAAATCAACTGACATCTGAATATTTAATAAGTCAACACACATACCGGGCGCCATGTTAATAACTGATGCGGTACAGTTGATTTGAAAAGATCCACAATTAGATTTACTGTTGACTCCCAAATTTTATCGTTGAATCTTTTACCGTTAGATAGAATTAGTGTTTCTAAACAACTAGTCCCAGAACGAGCCAATTGTTCATGTTCTTGTAAGCAACACCAACGTAATTGCTGATATATATCATCTAGTGTTTAAAAAAAAAGAAAGAAATAATAAAATCATACAATATGCAGTGCAAAATAAAGATGGCGGTCAAAAATGTAGTTGGTGTAGTTGGGCTTGAGACTCATCCAAATGTTGTGTAGTGTAGTGTAGTGTGTAACTCAGTCCATTTATGGATCTCGGCAAATTTACAAGTGTCTAAAGCAGGTGTATCTGAAATCTGAAATGAAATCTACAACAGTTATTCTAAGCCAAGTAGGAAGGTGTAGACTTCTTGTCTGGTTGGGGTCCTAGGGACGGTAAAAACCAATGGTTGGAAACAATTGGTGACATGGCTCAAAATCGTTCTCAATGAGCAGCGCAGATGCATTCACTCCTTGTGATTTCCAATGAAACTGTTTTGTTCTTCGTTATTACTCTTCATTTGTCTCACACCTTTGTTTACTGTCTCTATTATGCTTTTCTTGTACTTCCTTCTCTTGTTTTGTGTGCTACATAGAGTGTGGCGACTTTAACTGCTGCACATCGGCGCAAAGTTCTACGTCGAAAATAGACAGGCAGACAGTATCTGACATCAAATCCTTCTATAAATATATATTGGAATTTACATCGGTAAAATAATAGTCGTTATGACTATAACCACTTTATAATCAGAACAATAGCTCACACAACTGACTGCACAGTGCAAGTTTATTGGGAACCTAAACCAACTTGATGAATTTAATGGTTTCTTTAGGATAATCAATGCCAGAAAGTGAGTTAGCAAAACCACGAATGTTATATATATATATATATATATATATATATATATATATATATGACTGTTTGAATAATATAATAATGATAATAACAAGGTAATAATAGCCTACTTTGATTCAAGCGAGAAATTGAAGATTAGCTCTACAGGAAAGGACGATAATCTACAGAAATAAACTGTGCTATATTTGTACAACCGACCGATCTTAAATTTACAATACGAAAAGTTTTGCTAATGTTGGTAAGGAATGATCAGTCAACGTATTTTACGCATTAGCATTAGGCGTAGTGAAGTATATCAAAATTGGTGTAGATAAATATTTTGATATCAGTTTTGTTAAACTTAAGGTAAAGATAAACACATATACACGCACACACAATCTTATTCCGCGCATGAAGTCAAGAATAAACAGTCAAAATCACAAAACAAGTATCAGAACTGCCCGAATAACTCCAAAGAAATCATCAAACACACCATCAACTGTACACTTTACAAAGCAACAGTGGTGAACCACTTTACATAACCTAATCGACAGTGAATATTAACCAATAGGGAGCAGTAATTTTAAGAGAGAAAAGCCTATTTGAAAACAAAGTAGTATAGTGGAGACAGAAAATAGAAAATAAAAATAATGTTTAATCGAAGTGGTTGGACGGATTTCATACCTAACAATATATCATGCAACACGTCATAGTACTGAGTGAATATATCCACAACAGAAAATAATGTATGATTGCAAGTTGTATTCATCCATTCAGTACGTTCCATATTTGACAGAGTCTGATGATGCATGCCGTTAATAGTCGACTGACTATCAGACGCAGAGGCTAATGACAATGCAGGCAGGTGATTAGCAGTATTATCTGATTCCACGTTAATTGTAGCATTGTTAAATTCTGATGATACTGAAGGGATACGGAAATGCTGAAAAACTCGGAAGATAACAGAAAATGTTTCACGCCACCATAACGGTTTAAACTGGTTCCCATGTGACTTTAATATATCGAAAAATACAGTAAGACCACGTGTACGTACATCCAGTTTACAACTAGGAAAAGCAGAAGAGTAAAAAGAAAAAAAAGAAAAAAATATGTTAACCCAGGGAAAAATAACGAAGAAATGTCAAGTATTATATATTTTAATGACTATACTGTTAAAGGTGAAGTGATTCTATTAGATGGGTGTCAATAAGCCCACAGTATAATATGTAAAACATGTAAAAGTAATGGAATGAAAATGTCAAACATGAATAATATACTTAAGATGTGATCCTGACACAAAAGTATACTGCTTCCATTTACTAAGTTAATTGAAAGCAATACAAAAGAAAGAAGCCAGGGGGAAATATGTGGATTAGACATTTACAATTCAATACATAACTCAGATAACAGCTTTCTCAAATAATGCTATTAATACATTAATGTTATTACTACGAAACTACTACAATTAAGGATAAGAAGGAACAAGGTGAAAGATTCTTATCAGTGTAGCTACGAGCTACATCATCCGTAAAACAATATTCTGTCGACGGTATACTGCATTTTAAACGGATTATAATCGATATGCGTATTCCCACCATACTTTGTAAAATATAGGAAATGATGAACTAAATTAAACTTTCAGCCAAGAACTTAGCACAGAAGCGTGGCGGTTCATGTTATCAGATTCTATAAGAGTACACAAAAGCAGGAAAAGAGAATGCAAAAACAAACCTACAAAAAAAACGGAAATATACGCCAGAAAGAATAATTGCATGGAGATTATTGGGTATTTAATGAATATTCAAGATTGTAAGAGGTGAATGAGAACGGCTGTGAAGCAAGTCACCAACATTCTTATGCTATTGGTTCTTAGTGTCTCGAAGACCACAGTCAACCAGACAGTATACAACTTCCTAGGTAGTTCAAACCAACAACTAGAGCTAACATAAATTGATGCCAGGTTTTGATTTGACCACTGCTAACTCTTTCGCAATGTAATCTTACGTCAGCTAAAACTGTTAAACGAAGAATCTAGATAGATAGACGAAGCTGTTGTGTGATACGACTGCTATAAATATACTGTGTAAAAATATAGATAGGTAATTAAGTGTATATGAAAGATCCTCCTACCCATTTATTACACGAAACAACTCGCATAGTACAGGCATCCAACCACGTAACCAAATTGATCATCTTCCGGCAATGAATAGGCGTGAATGACATGGTTTGATTCACAACTAGGAGACTCAGCTGAGTTACTTGCAACTATTTCTGAGTTTTGTAAACCAGTAAACACTGATCCTTGTTCTGCTACCGTTCGTGCGCAAATACGAATCAAGCGAATACTTTCCATAGCTGTATCGGGAAAACGTGGATTGCACGAGAATTCAGCAAGTGCCTTTACTAAAGGCTACGAAACAGAAAAAGAAAAACAAACAGACAAAAAATGGAAAAGGCGAAAATTATTAACTGCAGTATTGACTTAAAAATTCATATACATGAGAGAGTATAGCAGAGTTAACTTCAGTAATTCGATATTCAGAATGTTTAACTCAGATTATTTTTAAATAAGTGCAGGAAGACACCTAAATGAAACAGTCATGTTTTTTATTAAATATCATTAAATAATTTACACTGCATCATATTCTACAGTTAATACAATTAGCTACCACCGTTATTTATTCTAGCTAAACATAAACGACCAGTTTACAGGCACATAGTGAAGTATTTCCTGAAAAGACTCATTCAAACAGACAGACAATGAAGAATACTTGCTTCTGGAAGTAAATGACTTAATACACATACAACTTAAAAGCAGTTTCTATAACAAGCTAGACCCTGATTTCAAACTAAAGTGAGAGTATGTGCTCCGATTAGTAACCATGAATAAGAATACAAAAATAATCTCTAGGCAGTTTGAATTTGTCAACGGTTAAGTATATCTTTTGAAATAAACGGGTGCTGCTCCATGAAATACATGTTCAAGTTAGGGACACCCGCAAAATAGAAAAGATGTACATCTGATGAGTACAAATGTGACATCAGCTGAGGAGCTTTGTAAAACGCAACTCTCATGGTTATTATAGCCATTTGTTGAAGCATTTACAAGAAACAACATCATACAGTAATGAACATATTCTTAAAAAAAAAGATGAATACTTACCTGGAAAGCATCCACAACAATATGTAAGTGATCTTTAAAAACATCTTTTACAGTAAAATGACAAGTTTCAAATGCCATATCAACAATTCCTTCATCTAAAGATGAAGCTACTGAATGAAAGACAGCAAATATATTAGTCCATCCAGATCGTATATTTGCATATTGTGAATGCACTAATTGATAAACACAACGAACAACCATATCTTGAACTTTATGACTGACATTTGGTTCGCCTTCCAGAATATTCACAAAAGGACTGAAAGAATACACGATACACGTGAATACAAAGAGGATGCGGTTGTGCAATTAAAAAAAAATTATCAATTCACTTTTATCTGTGATCGACCCATGGTGTTTAAGTTTCTAGAAAATAGCCTAGTTTTCATAGCAAGGCTGGTGACACATAACTTGCACAAGTTTTAGCTGACAGTGGGAATAAAGAAACTGAGTGCTATTCATGTACGAGATTTCACTGATTGCTTATTCCTATTGAAAAATTGTGACCTGTTTGACACAGAACAGTGTGTTATAAGTATCATCGTTTGATATGACTGGTTTTCTTTTTATTTGAATTCGCGTTCCCCAGTGGAACATAACATAGGACTTCAAGCTAGTGGCTTGAAGATTCTGTAGCAATGTTTATTTTACAGGATGGGGTTGCTAGCCTTATGCCCAACCTTTCCTCTTTACCAGCATTATTTCTGGCTTAGCGAGGTAAAGGAGTACGTCGGTGGCCGGGGACCGAACCCGGACCATGTGCATGGTTGGCGAGCGTCCTAACCGCTACACCACCGACGCCCAACTGTTTAAATATACATATCATGCAAAATATAAACCCATTAAGAAACAGATTTACTTACCGTAGGAATTCTTTCTGAAAGTGAAAATTAGGCAATTCACCCTTTTCGATTAATTTTACAGATAACTGTCGTAAAGAGTCAATTACAAATTCAGCAACATCCTCGTCGACTGATCGACCAGCTGTAGTGAAATGACTACCGATATGTTCCCATATACGTGACCACTGTAATCGAATACGACCCATATTGTAATAAGAAATTTCGACAACTTTCTGCAAAGAAAATGTTCTTGGTTGAGGAAGATTTAACTCTTCTTGACTGACCTACATTTATAAACAAAAGAGACAGTACAAAACTTGAAGAGTGAAAAATGTAAGTATTGTAGACATGATGTCTATTCGTTGTAAATGTTTAAAAGATAAAAAAGCAAAGCCAATAAAAACAATCAAATTTGAGATATCCTAGGTAAGTAGATATTACAAAAAAGAAAAATGAAATGAACTAACCAGAAGAGTTGATGGAGTGATCGGAATCTTGTGATCACTCCATCAACTCTGCTATGCAATTCCTAGAGAAAACTAGAGGCATACAAATAGATGAACAAGAAATGATGATATCCTTCGACTTCACAGCGTTATAAACCTCAATCGGACAAAAACTAGCAAAAGAGACCAGGGAGCAATTACTCAGCAACGACAAACACTTTCCACAACAATCAAAAATGCAACACACAAGCTGGATGTAATGCATAAACCTATGTCTAACAACATACTTCCAATTCAACGATCAAATATATGAACAAGTCAAAGGAACACCCATGGGATCGCCAATATCAGGTTTGATTGCAGAAGCAGTGATGCAAAGGCTCGAAAACATAATTCTACCAAAGATCAAACCCAAGATTTGGATACGCTACGTCGAGGGCACATTTGTAATAATCAAAAGAAACGAATTAGATAAAACTCCTAACTTAATAAACAACGTCTTCAACGACATCAAATTCACAAGAGAAGAGGAATTCGAGAACCAAATCCCATTTTCGGACGTCTTAGTCAAGCGAACAACTACAGGGGAATTCGAAACTAAAGTTTTTAGAAAATCAACCCACATATACCAAATCCTGAATTACAACAGGAACAATCCCGTAACACACAAAAGGAATTGCATGCAAACACTATTCAAGAGGACCAACCAGGACTTATTGCAGCACTCCCACCTTAAGGAAAATTGAAGAAAAATATCTCACGGACATCTTCCAAAAGAATGGATATCTACGGAATTTCATCAAAAGACATATACCCCCAAGCCAACCTATTAAACCAAAAGCACAATGAAATTCACCTTACCATATATAAAGAACATCTCAGAAATCTCTTTTCAACGACTTCATTTTCAAGCTGTACAGTCGTATTTATATTACAGAAAAAGGTTATTAAGTGGCACTAAATAATTGCTCAGTCAATGTACGTATATATGTGATAAAAGTTATAAGGGGTAGAGTTGAAGTGGATAAATTACAAAAATATTAAAGATTGTTTCATAACGAAACAACATTCACTGGGCAGTACACTAACTTCAACAGTTGGGTACCTTTAGGGAGAAAGAGAAATCTCATTCATTCCTTATGCTCCAGAATTCGTAAAATCTGCTCTGCAGAGACAATCGATAGGGAACTAGATAACCTTCGATCAAATCTCCTTAACAATGGTTATCCCACAAGGTTCATTGAACGTAATATCAAGAAAGAATCCGCCCCGAGACAAGTCACAGTACCAAAGAAAAAGCTGTTTATGAGTCTTGCATTCAAAGGTGACACCATTTCAGAATTGATTAAAAATCGTTTATCTAAATGTGTTAAACGCACTTTTCCTGCAGCTGACCTGCAACTAGTTTTATCAGCCGATATATGATCAGACAATGCATCAAGGATAGATTACCGCTTTTGTCCACATCTATGTGCATTTACTCTTTTATTTCCTCTTGTGGAGCTGTTTATATTGGACGTTGCAAGCGTAATCTCCAAAAACGTGTAGCTGAACACTATCCGGTTTGGTTAATGAAAGGTGAACGTAGAACTGCAAAGTCGTCTATTTGTGATCACCTGTTAGAGTCTGGTCATTTAGCCCCACGTGATTCATCTTTCAAAGTTATATACTTGACAAAATCGAATCGATCCAAAAGTTTACGTTTTCTTCACTTATGCATAGCCGAAGCTTTAGCTATACATGAACAGAAACCTAAATTATGTGTTCAAAAGCGTTTTGTCAAACCCCTTTCTTTACCTTGGTCATAATAATGTTCTTTCTAGTTTTTATTTTATTTTACCACTTGAATTCTTTCCACTTCACTTCACATCTTCATTCTTATCGTAATTATTATATTATTATTATTATTGTATCCTTTAGTTCCTAGAGGAACATAGGGCTTCAGCTGCGCACCTCCATTGACTTCGGTTTTTTGACAACTTTTTCACCCTGCTCCAGGTCTGCCCACATGCTTTCATCTCCTCTTCACATGACCTCCTCCAAGTCACCCTTGCACTGACGACCAACTCGCCGCCTCCCTTTCGGGTTCCACTCGAGGGCTTGTCTAGTGATGTCACTTGTTGGTTTCCTCAGCGTATGGCCAATCCATCTCCATTTCTTTCTGCCTATTTGTTTAACAATCGGTTCCTGATTGGTTCGCTCCCAGAGATCCCTGTTGCTGATCTTTTCTGGCCATCTGATCTTGAGTATTGAGCGAAGACAGCTGTTAATGAAGGTCTGAAGTTTGTTTGAGATGCTCTTTATGACTCGCCAAGTCTCTGATCCGTATAGTAGCACTGACTTCACATTGGAGTTGAAAATCCGGATCTTATTTTTGATGCTGAATGCTGTCGTAATAGTACTCCTAATTTTCAAAATTTTTAGACAACACTTGACATTTTCGTTATGAAACAATCTTTAATATTTTTGTAATTTATCCACTTCAACTCTACCCCTTATAACTTTTATCACATATATACGTACATTGACTGAGCAATTATTTAGGGCCACTTAATAACCTTTTTCTGTAACATAAATACGACTGTACAGCGTGAAAAGTCGTACAGTCGTTGAAAAGAAATTTCTTCGCTGAACAAAAACTGTGTTTTTACTTATGAATAAATGGGTATTTTTCGAGATCTCAGAAATCACCGAAAGACTCTTCAAACCTTTAGTAATTGACGTCTCACACAAACCAACAAAATCACTCCACTCAGCCAGCTCTATGTCAACGAAAGGAGATAAAACCAACATCATCTACAAAATAAATTGTAACAACTGCGAAGAACACTACATTGGCCAAAGTGGACACCCTTACCCTTCGTCTTCGTATCCACGAACATAAGCTAGCCGTCAAAAGACATGATACCCACTCCCTTATATCACTACAATCAGACAACCACGGACATCATTTCGACTGGGACAATGTCCAAATATTAGACAGAGGAAACAACAAGAATGCTAGAGAATTTTTAGAAGCTTGGCATTCCAGTGAATCATCAATCAATAGACACATCAAGATAGACAAAATGTATCAACCGATAAGTAAGAAACCTCACACACAAACGGCCAAATTTCAAGTCAAAGAAACAATCAGTTCCAATACAAGTAATCTAGAAGGTGTGAAAACACACAAAAACAACCAATCACGTCCAAGGTCACCCGTCAGGAGAGGTGATTAATAAACTCGTGGAGAAATCTAAAAGCTCACTTCAAATTGAAGTATGAGTTGAACACAACCACATCAAAATCACCAGCTTATGTTAAGAAGGCAATAACGTTTGCGTATCTGAACACACAGCATATTCTCTACGATCAATAACCACATTTCATTCATATATTAGACCGCTGACCTAGTGAATAACGCTTTGGCGTTTGAAACAGTGTATGCTGTGTTCCTAACATAGTGGGAGCACTATCACTCACTGGGGGTGGGGGGTCTCGAAAAGGATGGAAAGCACTTGCTGGATCCCACCGCTGGCTATCATAGACCAAATGAAAAAACAGACATATAAGTGACAGGTTGGGCATAGAAGGATGGCAAGAGAATCATGTGAAGAGGGGTCGGTTGAAAGCAATGGGAGGCAACTGAGTGCAATGCAGATGTACTATAGAAGCACTATATTTCACTTAGAAGGTGAGGAATTGATACATATCCATATAATATGCGTGTTTTGTTTGACAGTCTGTCTTTGGTGATATATATCCATATAATATGTGTGGTTGTTGACATGTCTGCTATATTTTGCTATGTATATATGGATCGATATTCCATTATAATTAGCCAATCATGTTAAGACTCTATTGATTTGTTCATTTTGAATATTCTCTCACACACTTGTGTTCACACTCTTGTTCGGACATTCTTATATTTTGCTCTCACACTCTTGTGTGACATTTTGATTCTCCTGGTGTTGGAAAATAGAAGTATCATCGCAAACCTAGTGGTCTTCTGATTTCCGTCTTTCTTGCGTCAGGACTATTAAATTCTCGACCAGTACATAACAGGAATATACATATCTCACCTGTACCACAAATTATGCAATTTATCTGTTCTCATATTGTACCAATCATTAATCCATCAGGATTTATAAGATTTCAAAGGGAAGCAAAATGGTCAGATGCAGATGGGCAACAATTTACATTGGGAGGTGAGAAATAAGTTTCAAATATCCTCATATTGCTAGTTGAGGTATTCAGAGATACATGGAAATGTTTTTTGAGTAAATGTTAGTCAAAACTGCTTATCCGAGTTTCATACTGGTATTTCATCGACCCTTAATAACATGACATCTGTCACTGATTCTTAAATCAAACACATGACAAGATTTAAATCTAGACCATTTCTATCTACATTGTTGAGAGCTTGATGTCAAATAGATATTTAAACAGAATATGTACGAAATCTAACGACTGTGTACTGTAAGCTGTATCACACTTTTACGGACGGCGAAGTTGAGATTGACCTGCTTACATAACTGTATTAGGTAATCCAATATAAAATACATACACATACCCATGAATGCAAAACATTGTGAAAATGATTTTTAAGGGTTACCTGACATAAAGCTTTCACAAATTCCACAATTGCATCACCATCCAAACGAATGGATCCAGTGAATATTTTGTCTACCGCAACAACAACACTTTGTGACCCAGTTTCACCCATCACTTCCTGTAGAACAGCAGCCTTTTTAGAATCTACAACAGCTGCAGCTAAACTCCCAGGTGCTACAGGTTCATTTGTGTTTGATGTCATAATGTGGTTTGAAGTAATTGATGAAGTCGATGATACTATGTTGTTCACCTTCGTAGAACCGCCTTCTGACATCAGTGAACTACCACCACCACCACCACCAACCGTTCCATTCGTATTTTGACTGTAAGAATTGGTGTATGAGTCTGGAAAAGTATCATATAAACACATGCAAACAGATTCATCAGAAAAATACCATTTATTGAAATGCAAATCAATCAGTAGTCAGTCTAATAAGTAGCATTCTCGCATCACTAAAATGAAATTCTATAACAATATTCGAAAGTTGTTTCATTTGATTCCAAACTAAAAAAAAGAGACTTGAAACACTTTTTTCAATGTAAAATCTTATCCGATTTACATAAAATTTGTATGCTGAATATCATGTTAAAAAGAATGCAATATATATATATATATATATATATATATATATATATATATATACACAAAGTTTCAAATAGCACATGTTTCAAATGAAGACACACAAAGGTGCTAGAAGACATCGAATCACCCTGAGAAGTTAAACACCATTAAAACTTGATGTAAACTTGGAGACGAGTTAGAGTCAACTGGAAATAATCTTGAAATGTCTTCAATACATATACATGTGTGCGTTTGTGTTGCTCAATGAATTTCTTTACGAGGTTTATGCTCAAAAGATATCGGTGGTTCCCTGTGATATGAAACACAACTGGAAATTCAAACACATACAGATTCACCCAGTAGATTATATGAAGTATCAATTTTATAAGACAAATCCTTGGATGAATTGGGGGACAGGGGGGAATACAATCAATACAATCAAATCTGAATTTAATGATTAAGGTTAAAATACCTTTACTCTTATGAGACTTGTACTTTTCAACTCAGCACTAACTAACATATACGGAGATATGAATAAGACAAATACCTGCTGATATTACAAGCTTAATAATGCCAGCTATAAAATTGTAAAGAAACATCTGCAGGGGAAGACAACAAAAGAATGAACACAAAAATGAAGATAAAAATATTAACAAGTCTAGTATGCAGTATTAAGGCTAAGATATATAAAATTTTGATTGATTCAGGTAAAGATGGAAGGTAAACGTGATCACAGTACTGCCACCGATTAAGCACTATATTAGAGAGATTTTAGTACCACCACTCCGACTAACACAACCACATCCACTTACGGAGCCTAGTCTTGTTTGCACCTTCCATTAAGCATAGGGTATTATTTATCATTCTGTTAAACTAAAATTATTACCAATTCATAAAAAATATTTTGACTATCATAGTCTAAACGACTGCATAAATAATTAAGTGAATCAGCACTAAAATATTTGCATGATACACGAAGAAGTGACAACACACAACAATCTCTAGAGTGGAACCCGAACGGGAAGCGGTGAGTTGGTCGTGCAAGGGTGACATGGAAGAGGTCATATGAAGAAGAGATGAATGCATGTGGGCAGGCGTGGAGCCAGGCGGAAACGTTGGCAGAGAACCGAATGCAATGGAGACGTGCGGCAGAAGCCCTATGTTGCTCTACGAACTGAAGGAAATAATAATAATAACACGGAGAACTCTGTTGCACAACACAACACTTTAAAGTTACGGCTGGTTTTCGAATTATGAACAAAGATAAAAATGTTAACTCATTGAAATTGATACTGATAGTTATTAAGACAAGTGTTTGCTTATTTCTTCATCTCTAGTTTCTATCCCTTATAAATAAGGTGAAGATATTTACTTTAATAGAGATGTGAATACCTTCATCGTTTTGTAGATTCGGACGAAAACTTTGGAGTAAGCACACTTATTTAGCCTGAATGGAAAATGGATCAATCCTTTCTACTTCGCCAATTTTGAAGCATCCACCTACCGACGATAGTTTGTACTGTAATAATGACTGCAACCACAGGTATCTTTAATAGTTGTTTGATGAGCTCTGGATTTTACTGACAAACCTTTCAATGCCCATTTAGGTAATTTCTCCGTTATGTCACACGAAAGAATTTACCTTGTAAATAACTTTCATGCATAGTGGAAACATGTAACAGAAAACACAAAATCCAAAAACAGCAGATATTTAGTTTATACCCAAATTTCGCTGTTTGTTGGGCTTACAACGCAGTTAAGGGAGATAAAGGTGTAAACCGGCAGGAAATCGAACTCCGGACCACGTGTATTGTTATGGAAACTACAAATCACAGGGAGCAGATACATCTGCGCCCCAGCTAACGTTTTTCTGACGTATAACCGATTGTCTCCAGCCTTCATTGGTTTTTACCGTCCCGAGGACCCCAACCGGGAAGTCTACACCTTCCTACGTGGCTTAGACTAACTGTTGTAGATTTCATTGACTGGTGACATGTTTTGGTTTGACCACCACCACCTCTTTCCCAGCCTAACCCATCCTATGCCAGCTAACACTGCCCGTCGAGGAAGACGATGACTAGGCATGCATAACACGTGTCCTAACCATCTCAGTCGATGTAGCTTCACAGCCTCGTCGATTGATCTCCCCTGTTTACCTAGAACTCGACCAAAGCCTAACCTCAATATTGCTCACCTTATTATACGACTTCACACGGGAGATAGAACGCAGGAAGCTATGATCAAAGACAGCTAGCCAGCCTTTGCATGTCTTCCACTCTGAATGGCCAGGTCTCACAGACGTAGAGGAGGACGGAGCGGACTGATGAGCGATTCACACGACGTTTGGTCAATAGCCAACCGGATATCACGTCTGGCCAGAGACGGCGAAATTAGCCCTCTGTATCTGTGCTGAGATTTCGTCAGAAATCAACCCGTTGTCACTGGCTGATGGTACTTCCCAAATAAGTGAAGCGATCAACATGCTCTACCACTTCACTTCCTATTTCTAAACTAGGAGACAGTGTAGTCCAGTCCTGTAACATCATCTTGCATTTGGCAGGGGCGAATCGCATGGCAAACATACGTAGATTGCAGCTCAAGGTGTTCAGAAGACTCTGCATTTTGCCAGCGTCCTCGCCCGGAAGGACTATATCGTCTACATATTCTAAGTCGACGAGATTATCCCTGGTAACAAGTCAATCCCTGAGTCTCTGAAGTGAGTTAATGTTAAATCCATTAGTACACCTATGATGAAATTGAATAGAAACGGGGACAGTGGGAATCCCTGACGGACACCACTAGTTGTCACGACTTCAGATGACAACTATCCATAGGCTCTCACCTGACTAGCTGCATGAGTCCAAGTTGAGTTCCTTGATCAGTCCAATGTATTTTCTCGTCATTGCCTTCACAGCCAAACACTGCCCTAGTACATCTCGGTCGACAGAATCGAATGTCACTTTCAGGCGAAGAAATATGTCAATTCTTGGAGGCCGGTGAATATCCCACCTGTGTTCCAGAATTTCTCGAAGGGTGAAGATATGATCAATACACCCTCTTCCTGATCTAAAGCCTGTCTGGTTCTCTCGTATTTGTGCTTCCTGAACACCACTTAGTCTACTCATAATTATTCAGCCTAGAACTTAAGATACCACCACCATATTAGTCAAACTAATCCCCCTGTGATTATCACAGGAAGACCTATCTCCCTTTTTGTAAATCGGGATAATCAATGACTTACGCCAACCCAACGAGACTATATCTGATTCCCAGACGTTGCTTAATATCTTAGTCAACGCAGGTAGTATGTTGTCTCCATCATCCTTAAACACTTCTGGAGTCATTCCATCAGGTCCCTCTGCCTTGCTTCGTTTCAGACTAGAGACAGCTTCTGTAACTTCAGTTAGGGTTAGGGACGGAGGACTGTGTTAATATCCCATTTAGATATGTGTTGGATGCTGGGTAAGTTGGAGGTGGCTGTAGGCCAGTCGAATTGCTCCTCAAAGTGTTCTTTCCGGCGTTTCAGTCGTCTATCCTGCGACCTAATTAGGGCATTGTTTTTCTCGTTGATCCTCTCACTTATCATTCGCCTTTTGCCACGTGCGTTCCACCCACATAATTCTCAGTTTGGCATAACTTTCCTACTTGGGCATTGAAGACGCCTGCTAAAACAACCATATCTGAACGTTTTGCTTTTTGCAGCAAATTAGACAATTTCAGGTAGGAATCATCCTTTAGTTCATCCGAACTTTTTTAAAATTTTCTTTATTATAGCTCGAAACCACACAGTATTTTTCGTACAAGCATGGAATTTTTCAGCATGTGATATCCGGTAGCCCAAATTTTGCAGGTCGACCATAGATATCAAGTGTGCGTCGGCAGGGAGTCGAACCCAGGACCATGTGTGTGGTCAGCGAGAATCCTAACGGCTGCGCCACCGACGCCAACAGCAGTCTGTTGGGGCCTAAGCGGAGACTACGAAAAGACAACGATGGACTTTTCTAACGGAGCCATTCATACGGATTATACAAAGTGGTGGAGGGAACCGTGATACATTCAGTAGCGTTCGATCTTGTTACTTATATATTGGAAGCTAAAACCAGTGACATACAAGAATACACAGAAATTTCAAATGCAACTGCTACATTAGTTATAAATTGTTTTTCAACAGTGCACTAAACTACTGAACAATGTAACTCAATAATCAAATATGAACACTGAATGGAAAGATTTCTGTAAGCAATCAAACAATCAATGGAAGTAGGAAAAAGATGTATCCTGTCATCACTGAAGGTCATAAAATTATGTGATATAGCAACGACATAAAAACAAAAGCTTTGGAATACATTATACAGCTACACGGGAAGCAACAAGTGATCAGCTATTACAACCTATTGCTATAACATTTGCATTGTGATGAGAAATCTGTTTTCCTCCTATTTTTTCAACGAAAATAATAATAAATAGTTGTTATGGTTTCAGAAATAATAGGATGCTATTATTTTGGCCAAGAAAAATAACTATAGTAACTGAAAAACACAGCATAATGATGTTAGATTTTGTAAACATAACAGCAGCACAGTTTATTGTGAGCATTATTTAACGTAAAAATGCGAAGAAGTAGCAATTACATATCAAATGCTAGAAATATGAGTCGTAGTTCATTACGCATATATATATATATATATATATATATATATATACCACATAGGCAATGACCAAACTATACTATGTAAGGTTTTAGAATATTTTATAGTTTTTATACAATTCTTTTGCAACTTTAATCAACCATAATGTACACCTGTTAACATTGAAAGTGAGAACTGTGTTAAAGCAATATTAATTGATAATACAATGTGAATAAGTGCACCTACAGCATTAGAAATCACTGAAACAAATTTCCCATCGCGGATTAAAAACAACTCAAGGTTCACTGGAAACCGCAGTTTTGTCTGCGTTTCCTCTTCGCACACTGTATTTTTCATTGGCATACAAACATGGAACAAAGATATAAACAGATACTTTGATGAGTATTTGATCATTACTAGATAAAATTTATGACTTCGCAGAGAATGATTTTTTCAACTCCAATCAACCAGTGATACAAGGTGGAGATTATTCACGGTCATTTTTGAGCGTTTCGCTCACTTATTTCAATCCTGATTTTCAGTCACAATCGTTAAAGGGGTTTCCGATCGTTTTACTGAGCATTATTCGCCACTTAGTGCAACCAAGATATAGTGTAATTTCTTCACCATATGGGCTAAATAGAATGCATGCAAGCATAATAACTTTGAAACAAGATGCACCCAAATTCGACAACTCTTATTATTACTATTATTATTATTATTGTATCCTTTAGTTCCTAGAGGAACATAGGGCTTCAGCTGCGCACCTCCATTGACTTCGGTTTTCTGACAACTTTTTCACCCTGCTCCAGGTCTGTCCACATGCTTTCATCTCCTCCTCGCATGACCTCCTCCAAGTCACCCTTGGACGACCAACTCGCCGCCTCCCTTTCGGGTTCCACTCGAGGGCTTGTCTAGTGATGTCACTTGATGGTTTCCTCAGCGTATGGCCAATCCATCTCCATTTCTTTCTGCCTATTTGTTTCACAATCGGTTCCTGATTGGTTCGCTCCCAGAGATCCCTGTTGCTGATCTTTTCTGGCCATCTGATCTTGAGTATTGAGCGGAGACAGCTGTTAATGAAGGTTTGAAGTTTGTTTGAGATGCTCTTTATGACTCGCCAAGTCTCTGATCCGTATAGTAGCACTGACTTCACATTGGAGTTGAAAATCCGGATCTTATTTTTGATGCTGAGTGCTGTTGACCTCCACACAGATTTGAGAGTAATGAAAGCTTGTCTTGCTTTTCCGATTCTGGCTTTGATGTCCTCGTCAGTTCCGCCTGTAGTTGAGACGATGCTTCCCAGGTAGGTGAAGGAGGTTGTTTCTTTCAGGTTCTTCCCATTTATGCTGATTGTTGTCTGTTGTTGTTGTTGCTGTTGATGTTGGCTAGGAATCTTCATCACCTCTGTTTTATCTATGTTCACGTGAAGTCCTATCTTTGATGCTTCTTCTGCCAACTTGTTACTTTTCACTTGCATATCTTCCAGTTTATGGGAAATCAGACATATATCATCGGCGAAATCCAGATCCTCCAAGTCTTTTGTGTCAGTCCATTTTATGCCTGTTCCCTCGTTGGTTGCCGTTGTCTGTCGCATTATCCAATCAATTGCAATCAGGAAGATCATTGGTGATAGTAGACAGCCTTGCCTCACTCCCGTCCTCACTTCGAAGGCTTCCGTAAGTTTCCCGTTGTGGATTACTTGGCATGCAGCATTGTCGTATAACTGTTGGATGAGGTGTATAATTGTCGATGGGACCCCGTAGTAGCGAAGTAGTTTCCAAATGACCTCTCGATCGACGCTGTCGAAGGCCTTTTCAAAGTCGATGAAGTTGAGATAGAGAGGTGACTGCCATTCCAAGCTTTGTTCAATGATGATCCGTAGAGTGGCGATTTGATCAATACATGATTTGTTTCTCCTGAATCCAGCCTGTTCCGGACGAAGTTTTTCATCTGGGGCTTGTTTGATTCTCTCCAGGATGATGCGACTTAGTATCTTGCTTGGAATGGACAGAAGCATAATTCCACGCCAGTTTTTACATTGACTTAAGTCTCCTTTCTTTGGAAGTTTGAATAAGTATCCGTTCTTCCAATCCTCGGGTACTTTGCCCTCTTTCCACACCTTCTCCAGCAGTGGTGTCATCAAGTCCGCTGTTGTCTCTGGGTCTATTTTCAAAGCTTCTGCTGGGATTCCATCTGGTCCCGGTGTTTTCCCAGCTTTAAGCATCTTGATTGCATTCAGGACTTCTGATTTCGTCGGGGGGTCAGTGTTCACTGGTAGTTCTGCTTCCGTTGTTGGTATTGCTGGACGTGTTGTAGGTGGCGGACGATTTAGAAGTCTTTTGAAGTGTTCAACCCAGTGCTTTCTCTGTTCCACCTCTTTGGTGATTGACTTTCCATTGTCGTCCTTTATTGGCTTAATCTGTGTCGAACGTTTGCCCGATAGGTTCCTAGTTGTTTGGTAGAGTGTGGCGAGGTCTCCTTTGCCTGCAGCTTGTTCTGCTTCGTTTGCCATGGTTTCATAATATTTTCTTTTGTCTTCCCTGGCACTCTTCTTCACTCTTTTGTTCAGTGTATTGTAGCTTGCATTCAGCTCCTGTTTTTGTTGCTCGTCAGTGCACTGGATAATCTTTTGCTTCACTGTCCTTCTCTCTTCTATTAGTTTCCAAGTGTCCGTAGTGAGCCACTGTTTGTCCTGTCTCTTTTTTCTGCCTAGAATTTCTATGCAGGTTTGGCTCCACACCGTTTTCAAGTTGTTCCAGTGCTTTTCGACGCTGACCTTTTCGCTGGTGTTGATTTGTATCTCAGCTTTGTCCTTTATGCTTGCAATGAAGATGTCCTTTGTAGCCTGGTCCTTCAGCTTTTGAGTGTTGAACTTGGCTTGTGGTCTATCTGCAGCTCCTGATTCCCTGAAAGCTTTTAATTTGATTTGGATTGTCCCTTGTACGAGATAGTGGTCTGAGCCAACGTCTGCTCCTCTTCTTATTTTTGTGTCAAGTAAACTGCGCCTCCACTTCCTTGAGATTGAGATGAAGTCGATTTGGTTTTTGGTTTGCCCGTCTGGTGACACCCATGTAGCCTTGTGGATATCTTTGTGCTTGTATACACTACCACCAATCACCAGTTCGTTGAAGGCGCAGAAGTCGGAGAAGAGTTCTCCATTTTCATTCATTTCTCCTAGAGCTTCTCTACCCATGATGAGTTCCCTTCCTGAGTTGTCTGGTCCCAGTTTGGCGTTCATGTCTCCCATTAGTATTTTCATGTCGCCAGCTGGAGTATTGTCCATTGTTGCCTGTAGTTGCCTGTAGAATTCTTCTTTCTTTTCGAGGTCTGCGTTGTTTGTGGGTGCATAACATTGTATGATTGACACTTTCCTTCCTTTGGAGTTGAATCTGGCGGTCATTATCCTGGACGGAATCGCCTCCCATTGTATCAGGGCTTTCGTTGCCGTTGGTGACATCATGATAGCCACGCCCTCGGTGTGCGTGTGGTTATCTTCTGGGTGGCCGGAGTAGATCACTGACTCACCCGTTGACAATTTGGTGAGTCCACTCCCATTCCATCTGCTTTCACATATTCCTAGCACTTGTATTCCGTATCTTTTCATCTCGTTGGCGATCTGGGCAGCTTTCCCTGTCTCGTACATAGTTCGGACGTTCCATGTTCCCACACAGACTTTTTCTTTTGGTGCAAAGAGGTTCATTCTGCTGAAGGTTCTGTAGCAATTTTGTTTACAGGGTGGGGTTGCTAGCCTCACGCCTGAGAAAGGAATGATCACATTAAGTTAAAGTTTAGAGAGAAGCAACTTTTTGGGTTGCTCCCCTCAAAATCAGAAAATAACGGACAACCCTTACAATAGACAAATACAGTAAAAAATGAATTGACCAGAAAGAAGTGGTACGGTGTTTATCCATTGTTTTGCGGTTAATAAACAGCGCTATTCTAGCGATTTAATTTTTAGTAGGCATGTTAGGTAGCTTACAACCTATTTTTGGAAGTTAGTATACTGCTAAAAATGTTTTCAGATTACGTTTGAATAAATATATTCTTCTACGCCACACGCTTTAGCTAACATCACGTGATGGGCTGAATTACGAATCGACCTAAGTAGAGAATATCTCGTCCCAGATAGCGAACATTCCTTACATGTCAGTCCAGGTTACCTACATTCTCTGTTGCTCTATCACACCCAAGAAATGAAATCAAATGACTAAATTGATTTCTGAAACTTGATGTACTATTCTTTGCACAAATATCAGTTCTCCTAAACTATGCGTAAAAAAAGCAGAACATTTAAATTAAATATCGCTTGCCAATAATTTCACAATACGTGCTATGGAGAAAACTGAATTATCACACAATTCTTAATTGTAACCATAATTTGAAAAGCTTGCATAGAATTCCAAAAATTTGACGAAGTGACGATTTAAATCCACCAGACAATAAGTAGTTCATTTTGAGCAACAATTACTATGTCTATTTCAATGAAATTTCTCTGCAGAACATTTTAACTTACTATTCGGTGTTGAACGATATACTAATTGTGAACTATTTGCATTTATTCCATTCGCAGATGAAACAGCATGTGTAATTAAATGTGCTGATTCCAATTGTGATATACATCGTAATATCTCTAACCAGGCATGTCCCAAATAATTACCATCCGTCTGAGCGACAGTAATTAAAGTACGTATTGTATCGATATTCTTTTGTTTCATAGCCTCTGGAGTAGATAAAGTTGGATTGATCAAATTTAAGCCTGATGTATTCGAATAACCAGCATTCATTATAGATGAAGAAGTCATACTAGTTCTTTCTGACCGAGGACGTCGAGAATTCGCATTTTGATGATTGATTCCACCAGGGCCTGATAAGTTACCATTGGAAGAAGGATTGACATGAGAAGTTGTTAGTAATAGTGTAAAACGTGCCAATGCTTGTACATAAGCATCTCTTTCTAACTCCATATGAAATATACATGCTATACGTATAGCATAGCGAATCCCTTCTAAACATAAATGATTAACGTCCAAAGCGTCACAGTCCTAAAGAAAAGTAAACAAAAAACATTAATCTATTATAGAGATGTAGAAAGGCAAAGGAAGAAAAAAAATTTAAGCCAAAATGAAGTTATAGTTCATTAAAAGTGGGCAGTTGATATCCAACCAACAGGATTTAGATTTATAGACCACTTAATTTACCAAGGTTTGAGTAGCCAGACAGTAGGATTAACACTTACAATACATTTGTGTCCAGTGTATTACTGAGAAAATTCATTATGCAATGAATAGTTTTCACAACACACATAGTGATAAACAGTTTACATCCTAATGTATAATCAACTAACCCACAGATAGTAATATTAATGTATAAAACAACAAGATAAAAAGTATCAAACATGTACTAATTTACAAACAAACCTATAAACTAAATTGATTCTATTGGAGGTTAACAATGCATATATAACCCATTTAATCATCAGTAAAGTTCGTACAATAATAATTCACAGTTGCAGTCATCAACCCCATACAATTACAACAATATGGATGTTTATTTTTGGAGGGTCAAGTTTATTACACACAAATGACAATGTTTAACTCTTATTCTGAATCAATAATTAATAAATTGTACTCATTACGAGATTGTACAAACTTGATTATGTAACCAGGTTGTAGGAGAGATACACAACCACACACACACACACACACAATTTATGTGCATGCACAATACATTCATGGAAGAGATCTACGAAAATTTCACTTATCCATGTGTAGGATGAAGAGGAATTGGATTCCAAATTTATTAACTTGAATTTTTTGCAATAATCATTTTTTATGAACAGTAAAATTATTTTAGATTTACGAGAGATCGATGGGAATTGAATAGAGAATTAAGTAAATCATAGTGGATATTTTGCATATGATTTAGCATATGAGTATGGTTTAAATATTGCCATTATGATAATTACAGAACACACACACACAATTTTCCGTGATTTCTCATCAGGTTTCACAATTTGATATGGTTAACAGAATTGGAATTCAAATACATGAACTAATGGGTAGTAGCAAAGATGATAATAATAATCATAATAATAATAATAATAAAAGGGGCGAATTCACGTAAGTGTTCACATAATTTAGGCAGTCAATCATTGCGAATGAGTGTATTTGTAAGGATAGAAAAGAAAATAACTATTATGTCACAGCAATTAGGTAATAGGGTATTTGATATTATAATAAATTGTAGAACTAAAATTAAAATATACAATTATGACACAGTGTGATAATGACCATAAAGAAAAAGATAACAGTACAAATAGTTAATCACAATTATCCGGAGTCATCGGGGAAGAAAACTACTCTAGGTTGGAAGTGAACGAGTGACGAGGGATTACAGAGTGACTCGACAAACTTTTGATGAATAAATGGATTATTTTGAGCAATTTGAAGTAACCACCTTCTAAATGCCTTTGAAAAGAACATACTACTATGAAAGAAGTTTACAATCATGCAACATAAATATCGCCTTGCTTTGCAAGACTTTTATAAATTATTACAATAAACCGATCAGTATATATCATAGATAAAAAGTTTACGACAGATATGAGTAGAGATGAGAAAACTGATTTCCTAATCATTGTGGTAGATTTTTATTGTCAATCTACATCATCTGAAAGGTTGATGAAAACTGAAAAGACACTAGATGGCTATCCTATTCAAACACAGGAGACTCCAGAAGCGCCCGTCAATAACCCTTTTTGAAGTCGAATTTCAAATCACCAGGCTATGGGTGCAGAACATCAAAACCCAATGACTGGGTTAAAACCAAGTGACATGACTCAAAACCTAGTGACCTTAGACGAAATCACATATGGAGTTATGGCTTCACTGTTGATGAATCTGCAGCTAGGAAGAAAGACATCCAGATAAAAAGGCCGAGTCAGTCGACGAGGTTACGAAACTGCATAGATTGAGGTGGATGGGACACTTAATACATATTTCAGATTGACAAATAATGTCAGCAAGAGTGATCAAGTTAAAATAGAGTCAGTCAAGTACGTCAATAATGAATGGTCTGAACTATGTATGAAGACAGACTGCCTGAATGGAGCTTCACTAATGTTTGTCTACTTTAGTTTGCGCTTCCATGTATTGTGTGGTGTTTTGAAATGTGGCAACTTGAATCGACACTAACCTGTGCTATTTTCTACGTTAACCCACGTTGACTGACTTTGTTCTTTTCTGTTTGTTTTTAACAGCAGTCCTGCTGACAGACAAGACTCAAGCTGAATACATGTCAGAAATTTACTTTTACCATAGGAGTATCCCATTTGTCTGCGTCAGCCAGACAACACAAAATGAACAGATGAAAACGCTGGGAAACATTGAAGAAAAATATCATTATGTTTGGCATTTGATGGTTACCTATGTCAAGTATAAAACAATGCTGTAGGACTGGTCTGCACAGACTCCTAGTTTAGGTATGTGGCGTATATTAGTCATGTGCGTGATCTTACTAATTTGGACACTCAGGCTAGTCCTAATGGAGTGAACGGTGGTGAAAATCTCCGATCGAATATAAAATGCTTGTTTAGCATCATCATCATCAAATCGTAAGACAGACTCCAACCTCGCTTCGTAGCACTCGCACAATAGATGTGGTTATAATTATTTTATTCCTATGCGTTCCGAGTGGAACATGGCGCTTCAGCCTTGAGGCTTGAAGTTTCGGTAGCAGTGGTGTTTATTTTTACGGGATGGGGTTGCTCATCATGCCCAACCTTCCCTCTTTACCAGTCTTATTACTGTCTTAGCGAGGAAAAGTGCGTCGGCCAGAGATCGAACCTCGGACCACTTACAGGTTTTGGCGAACATTCTACCGCCGTGCCACCGACGCAATAGATGTGGTGGTTCTGATATTTTCTTCCCAAATGTTAGTCCCAACTCTTTTTCAGTTTAATCTTAAAAATGAGGTAATTAAGAAAAGAGTGAAAGGAGGATAAAAATCAACCAGTTGCCATAGGAGAAAAACAGAAAATGTATGTAGTAGACTATATATGCAGTTAGTCAGCTGATGTGACTGCTTGGAAGCCCCTTTTGTCACATTACAATTGTTTCCCAGGCAAGCATTCGAGGTAAGGAATAAAAGTGAATGGTTTTTCGGTATGCAAAATGAGAAAATCCAAATGCTTCTCATAAATTTCATCTAGTTAGTTGTAGCATTACAAATGATAATGAGTTCCAGAAGCAAAAATACTTTACAATATTGCAAAACGTAGCTTAACCACGCATTAAGCAGGAGTAGAGAACAAAACAAACGAACAAGCAAAACAAATTTGTATGCGAGTAGAATATCTACAATTACGATTATTGATCCGATATGTTTATCCTTTAGAACTAAAAAGAAATAGGTAAACAAAATAATACAAATAATAAAACAATTCTACAATTTCATTGTCATAGGTGATGTTGAACAATTCAAAACTAACTAATAAACACACAATTCATTCATTTCTACCTTGACTATGCTTGTAATCAACATGTGGAGAAATACAATGGTGGTATTTACTGATGACAGAAGAGGAGGTGTTCAACAGCTGGATACCAATTGCACATGAAAAAAAAACAGAACCTAATTATTATCTGTTGCTACACTCACACCGACGTATCTGCAGAGCTGATGCTCAGAAGAATAAGACTTTTTGAAATACATCTTCATTCAAAATGAATATCCACCAAGATTTATTGACGAGAACATTCAGCCGAAAATTCAAAGGACAAGAGACGTCATCTGTGCCAAAAAAAAGGAAATGAAGATATCACTGAAAAAAATTACCTCAGGGAGTAACAACAGCTAAGAGAATAGAGCACTTTAACCGGAAAATCTAAAACCCAAGTAATAAGCTACAAATGTCTCCTTTCAATTTGTTTCAACTATAAATACGTTTAATTACTTAGTGGACAGCAAAACTTTACATCTGAACATTATTTTTCAGTAGCTGAAAGTACTTTTCCACCTTTGAACAGTTTACGTTGATTGGTTTAGAAGCTTATAAAAATCCCAAATATTATTAAACTGCCGTTTTGGGGTATTAAAGAAACCAAATAACTAGATACTGACCAAGCAGTGTGTTATCACAAGAAAATGTTGTTTCTAAATGAAAGTCTATGACAAAGTGAAATGAAAAAAGAAAAGACACCACGAGAAAATTGTTAAGATGAATGCATTTATTATAAATGAGTTTTACAGTATTTTTCTCTGAATAGTGACTCAAAAATCAAAGCGTAAATGTGTAGTGAAGTATACATTCAAACAAAATGAAGGAAAAGAATGGAGATATGTGGATGACACTTTTACAGAGTTAGGAACCGAACAAACCTCTAGTTTCTTTAAACATATTAGCTGAATAGTGAACGGAATAAAATTTACACTTTGGTAAGGAAATGGACAAAGAGAATTAGCTATGTTAGATTGTAAAATAAAAATAAAACAAGATGGTAAATTGCGCACTAGCGATTACAAAAAGCAAATGCATTCTGCTCATTCGCTATCTGTAAACGTAGGCTTAGTTAAATGTCTAACAAACAGAGCAATAACACTTTGTAATACATGAAAAAAAACCTAAATAATAATGAAATGAAGCAGATAGAAGAAGAGTTGATGATAAATGACTATTCCATAACATCAAGAGAATCACAAAAGCTCTCAGGAAAAGGAAATAGTAGTTGGATATAAATATACGAAGGAGTTTAACCATGTAAGGAACAGTCATCTGAAACCCAGCTTGGGATTCTTGATAGGGTGCGAACTAGGGTGACATTTAAACTTACAAACTCACTCAGGGATGAGCTGTGTTTGCTAAAGGATGCTAATAACCTAATTCGATAAAATAATGCAATCTCTGCAATACACCGCGCAATGACTGTGAGGTAAGTCACTCGATCGGGGGTAGTTAGATTATCAGAGAATCAGAATTCAGCTAAGTGTAACATGATTGCCCCCACGAAGATGACTAACTTAGGAAAACATTCAGCAATCGCAA